CTAGGTGGGGGAAATTTTCCTGGATGATGTCCTGAAGAGTATTTTCCAGCTTGGATTCATTCTCTTCGTCCCCTTCTGGTACACCTATCAAACGTAGGTTAGGTCTTTTCACATAGTCCCACATTTCTTGGAGACTTTGTTCATTCCTTTTTGCTCTTTTTTCTCTGATCTTGGTTTCTCGTTTTATTTCATTGAGTTGGTCTTCGACTTCAGATATTCTTTCTTCTGCTTGGTCAATTTGGCTATTGAAACTTGTGTTTGCTTCGCGAAGTTCTCGTATTGTGTTTTTCAGCTCCTTTAATTCATTCATATTCCTCTCTAAGGTATCCATTCTTGTTATCATTTCCTCGAATCTTTTTTCAAATCTTTTTTCAAGGTTCTTAGTTTCTTTGCATTGATTTAATACATGATCTTTTAGCTCACAAAAGTTTCTCATTATCCATCTTCTGAAGTCTAATTCCGTCATTTCGTCACAGTCATTCTCCGTCCAGCTCTGCTCCCTTGCTGGTGAGGAGTTTTGGTCCTTTCTAGGAGGCGAGGTGTTCTGGTTTCGGGTGTTTTCCTCCTTTTTGCGCTGGTTTCTTTCCATCTTTGTGGATTTGTCCGCTGGTCATCTGCGTAGTTGCTGACTTTTCGTTTGGGTCTCTGAGTGGACACCCAGAATGTTGATGATGAAGTATTTCTGTTGCTTGGTTTTCCTTCTACCAGTCTAGCCCCTTCGCTGTATGACTGCTGAGGTCCGCTCCAGACCCTGCTTGTCTGGGGTGCACCTCTAGTAGCTGTGGCACAGCGAGGGATGCTACCAGTTTCTTTTTCTGCTCTCTTTGTCCCAGGATGATGCCTGCCTAATGTCAGTCTTTTGGATATAGAGGGGTCAGGGAGCTGCTTGAGGAGACAGTTTGTACTTTATAGGGGTTTAATTGCTGAGCTGTGCACTCTGTTGTTCATTCAGGGCTATTAGGCTGCTATGTTTTATTCTGCTGCAACAGAGCTCATTAAAAAAACCCCTTTTTTTTTTTTTTTTTTTCTCAAATGCTCTGTGTTCAGGGGTTTGGGCTTTATTTTTGGATGTCCGATCAGGTGTCCTGCCCAGCTAGAAGGCAGACTAGCCACTGTTTGGCTGTCGAGGCTCCGCCCTGCTGTTGTGTGATTCGCGCTGTTCCTGCCGGCTCTGCTGTGGTCTCTGCCACGCCCTGCAGTGGAGTCTCTTCATTGTAGCGTGTTGCCTCAGCAACGGCAGGCTGCGTCAGCAGTGGGCGTGTATCTCAGTAGGGATGGGTTGCCTCGGCAACGGCTGGCTGCGTCAGCAATGGGCGTGTATCTCAGTTGGGGCGGGTTGCCTCGGCAACGGCTGGCTGCGTCAGCAGTGGGCGTGTATCTCGGGGGCGGGTTGCCTCGGTAGTGGTGGACGCCCCTCCCCCACAGAGCGTCTCAGACTGTCTGCTCGGGATAGTTTGAAATCGCGGTTTTGTTCGTCCCACTGGGTATCCCAATCCCTGCAATCCCCTGGGCTGGCCTACTGTCCAAGTCTCATTCAGTCTCAAGTCCAGCCCTCTCAAGTCTCAGGTTGCCGGTTCAACAGGGCACCCGGACAAGCGCGCCCTGTGGGGATTCCTGGGTAGGGCCGGCCGCCGCCGCCCCGGCTGCTGGCATCCCGTGTCTTTTTTATACTTGGGCGTTTCCCCGTTTTGTGGGCAACAAAGATCAGTCTGGAAATGCCGCTCTGACTCACCGTTTGCGGATTCAACGAGAAGAGCTCCAATCCTGGGTTGTTCTCACAGCGCCATCTTGAGTCCTCTATCAAGATATTTTTAAGTAAAATTTATTTATTATTTTAGCACAAAGTCATGGCAGTAAAAAATATAATGACTAGTAGTATTGCTTGGTGCATCTGCGTTGGTTTGTGATCAAATGCCATCAATTTTACCCACTTTTGTTTTTGTATTGTCAGTAAAAGTGTCAACACAATGAAAAAGGCAAATAATGTCTAATTACTGTTATGAAAATAGTTTCGACTTTGTGAGTTCCCTGAAAAGATCTTAGTGATTCCAGATGGTCTGCAGACAATGCTGTAAGATCTGCAGTTCTATATGTTAGCTATTGACACCCTGCTACTGATGATGATGGTTTTGCTCCTGACGTAGCTTCCACATCCCTTCCCTTTCTCAAGTTGTTATATGTAAAAGATCAGTTTTACTTCTTCTGTTCATTGAATTAGTAACTTTAAATAATAAACACTAGCCTCTATTTCTTCTTCCATATCCTTTTGACAGTATCTCTTGACTCTCTACCATAGAATCAAAGAATATTAGTGCCTTTAATCCTCTTTAACTTCAATTTCCAGAAATCTGTTGATTTTACTCTTCCATTGTTTAGAGTATATAATTATATGTATATATGTACAGATATATAATACATATATAGTTTTTAAAAGTATACATATAATTTTGAATTACATATATACATATATAATTATATGTATATATCTGCAGATATGTGTATATGTACATTTAATTATATGTATATATCTGCAGATATGTATATAGGTATATGTAATTATATGTATATATCTACAGATATGTGTATATGTATATTTCTAAAGTTTCTGAGTTTATTAGTGGGCCAGTAATATAGTTACTTCTTTTAGAGTTATGACATCTATAATACCCAAAGGAGAATGTCCTCATGTCCTGGATTCTTCCTTTTTATCAATATTAATATGTCAATGTCATGCCACATTTTATTTTTGTTTTGTTTATATGTAGACTATATCTTTTTCTCCTGGAATTTCTACTGGAGTTTCTTTTTCTTTTTTTCTTGTCAAATGATGGATCTAATGAGCTCTTGGCCACATTGGTAACATCTTAGAGCTTCTTACTCATTCCATATAATGGATTCTATTCTATTATATTGTCCACAGTGATAGTTTATCTGAGAATATAATTCTAGGTTCAAAATTATTTTCCTTCAGAATTAAAAAAAAACTTGAATCATTATTTATAAGAATATAATAGTAGCCCGGGTAATGACGTGATCTTGGCCCACTGCAACCTCCACCTCCCGGGGTCAAGCAATTCTCCTGCCTCAGGCTCCCGAGTAGTTGGGATTATAGGCACCCACCAGCACTCCCAGGTAATTTTTGTATTTTTAGTAGAGATGGGGTTTCACTATGTTGGCCAGGCTTATCTCAAACTCCTGAACTTAGGTGACCTGCCTGCCTCAGCCTCCCAAAGTGCTGGGATTATAGACATGAGCCACTGCACCCTGCCTGATTGTCTTTCTTTTCTCTTTGAGGCAAGACTTTTCTCCTTATCTTGGAGATCTGAGATTTTACAATGATGGGTCCAGTTGTGGATCATTTTCATTTTGCTTGGAACTCTGTGGGCTTTCTCAGCTTGTTTGTGTTTCTCTGAAGACCTTTTTTTTAAAAAAAAAAAAAGTCTCGCAGCCTTATTTTTAATTTTTTTCCAGAATCTTTAAGTTCTTACTAATAATATTTAACTTCTAAGGATGCTTCCTTTTTATTCATTTCACATAGTCCCACATTCATGCATTATGAGTATACTATCTTCCAGAATCTCTTTTAGCATATTAGAGATCTTTGTTGGTTTAAATTATCTTTCATTTCCTTAATCATCTATTTATATAGTTAAGAATGAGAGACTGAATAGATCATACCTGGTAGCCAATATGAGTCCGTCTTGTTTTTGTATATGTGGATTAATTGAGCTTTTAGGTCTCCAGCATAAATAAAAGTCCTATGTATGAATGAAATGAAAGAAATGTGTTGTCTGCCAAGCTTTGCTGCAGAGAGAGCAGGTGGAGAGGCAACAGTTAGCTCAGAGGTCCTCTAAATGGCAGAATTCGTTGTGCTTTATTCTCAGTCATGAAAATCCACCTTGACTGCTGTAGTTTTCATTCTGTTGCTGGAGGGTTCTCCAGTATTTTGATGAGGGAGTAAATGCCAGTTTCTCTGTGACTCAGGGATTTTAGAGAAGGAGAGGTTGAGACTGGCTGTTTACAAATGTTCCATAGGCAGACCTTCATTTAACCTCTTTATTTTCAAATTTTACCTTCCTCCTGCCTTTTTAATTTTAAACGTAGTATCTGCCAAAACTGAGCATTGAACTTTTCTGGTGTTTTTGGTTCGTTTGTTTGTTTTCTGGGCAAATTGGCTTCCTTCACGTCTTTACTTCTATCTACTTAGTCCTTTGTATAGTCTAGACTACTTTCCTTCACCCTGTTTTATCAATTGTATCTACTTGTTTACTTCTTTGTTGTATGTCTCCCCAAAGTAGTATATAAATGACTTGAGACAGAGAATTTCTGTTTTGTTCACTACCATGTCCCTTTGAATTTATCATGAGTTTATTACCTTTTCCCCTTATTTTAATCCATTTCAATTGTTTTAAAGGGGTCTTGGCAAGAAAAGGAGAAAAACGTGTGTGTTTATTGCCAGCCTTTGGGATTACTTGTGATAATATTTTTCATGGGAAGAAAAACTCCTGTACTTTTACATGTTCACCTACATTTTGGCAGAAATCTTTTTTGGTTTTTTGTTTTTGCTAAAAATATAGAATTTGAAGATATTGGAAATGAAAAAAAGTTTTATACTGCTAATGCGAACTTAGTTACAACCTAAATATCTATGGAAAAATCAACATGTGAAATATTTATTGTTATCAGGTGAATATAGTCAACAATGGAAAGAATATATGAATTTAGTCTCAAATTAAGCCACTGCTTTCAAGTAAAATTTATATGAACTGATTGTCTATGTTATCATATAATGCCCAATAATTTTTACTGTGTCTTCAGCCATTTATCATCACACACTGAAGCATAATGAAGGGAATGACTTTTATTTTAATTCTCATTATTCTAATGAACAACTCTCACTGTTTGTTGTTCTTAATGATAGTAAAGCACTGTGTTTTCATACTCCAAAATCATTAGAAAGATCACAATTTCTTGTTATGTACTTTTCTGTGTCTTCAAAGAAAAAATTGAGATCTGTAACCTGGACAATTTCCTGGAAGATATGGGGATTGAGCTTACATATGAGGAACACACAGAGCTAGTAAATTGTCTCCCAACCAGTGGTGAGTATTTCAATTATTTTGGTGCCTTTCAAGGAGGGTTTTGAGTTTAATTATAAGAAATACTGATACTGTACTTTTAATTACTATGCATACATAGAAATATCCAGTACTAAAGAAGGGGATATGTTTGTATATGTGCATTTATTATTACTATGATGATTTTTTTTTGAAATGGACATTAAGATTTTAAATGAATATTAACATTGTTATACAGAAAGTATCGGGACCCTAAATGTCACTGATTAAACTATGTAGTCTCAGAAACATCATTAAGGTGATTGGAAAGCCAAATATAGGCAGACCAAAGAAGAAATTTGGGGAATATAGGTAAGGGAGGCAAAGATGAAGAATGAAAAAAGAAAAATAAGTTTAAGTTCCATTTTACAGGTTATTAAGAACAGCCTAAGACAGTGTCATGAAATTCTAATTTATTTAGGTTAAACTGTCGTAGTAATAAAGGTGGCTTTCATTTACACAATGTTTACTATGTAGTAGAGACTATGTTTACTTCACAATATAATCCAAGAATAAATGAATATACATAATGTCTAAAATAAATATTTTCTTCCTATATATTGAATCATCAATGTCAGAATATAGATGTGAAAAAAGTTAATGAATTGCTGCTCCAATAGAGTGGTGGATGATTACAGCTACACACTAGTTTTTGTATTAGTCCATTCTTGCATTTTTATAAAGAAATACTTGAGACCGGGTGATTTATTAAAAAAAAAAAGGCTAATTGGTTTACACTTCCATAGGGTGTACAGGAAGCATGATCTGCTCGACTCCTGCGGAGGCCTCAGGAAAGTTAAAATCATGGCAGAAGGTGAAGGGGAAGCAGGCATGTCACATGGCCAAAGCAGGATCAAGGGGGTGGGAAGGTGCTACACACTTTTAAACAACCAGATCTCCTGAGAACATTCACTATCACAAGAACAGCATGAAGGGGATGGTGGTAAACCATGCATGAGAATCTACCCCCATGATTCAATCACATCCCACCAGGTCCTACCTTCAGCACTGGGGATTACAATTTGACATGAAATTTGGGTGAGGCCACATATCTTAGCTATATCAGTGTTTAATGAGAAAGAAATAGGTCTAATGCTTGCTCATTTGCTCATTTATTCATTTAACAAATACTTATTGAGGACCCTGATGAATCAGGCCTGTTCATGCCATCAAGGAATTGTATAGTTCATTTGTGGGGAGTGGAAAATATACAAAGACAATTGGAAAGTAAAATGTTAAAAGTGCCACAATTATTGAGAGTAAGTAGACAATAAATACTTGTGGAATGATGGGAGGGGGAAAGTAGAAGGAAGGAAATAATGGTTACTTTCAGGTTACTGGAAGTAGTTAAATCTGATGAGGTGATTAAAGAAAAAAAGAGCTGCTGCTACAAAAGTGGGCAAGGCAGTATCATACAGTAACTTTATCCTACAGATAATAGTAAGATAAAGAACCATTATTCCAAGAATAAATGAATGTGTTTAATATCTAAAATAAATATTATTTTACTTGTTTGAGCCATTGAAGATTTTCTTCGAGAGTGACATCATGTTTTGTCCTTTAAACTTTTTAGAGCCTTCAGGATAAATTTCATACATTTTTGCTCAAAAAAATAACAAACAAGGAAAACCCTTATTGATCTCTTAACTATATGTCCACCTCATTTCTTTCTCTCTCCTACCATACACTTCCAAGTCAGTGATCAAAATGAACTGGGCAGCTTGTTGAAAAAATTCAAACATAGAAACATATTCACACACACACACTACAGATAATTATGTGAATTTTGTATTAAAACATTGTTTATGTGGTGTATTACATTTATTGACTTGTGTATGTTAAACTATCCCTGCATCCCTGGTATGAAACTCACTTGATCATGGTGGATTATTTTTCGATATGTTATTGGATTCAGTTGGCTAGTATTTTGTTAAGGATTTTAGCATCTATGTTGATCAAGGATATTGGTCTTATAGTTTTCTTTTTTGGTTATATTCTTTCCTGGTTTTGGTATTAGTGTGATACTGGCTTCATAGAAAGAATTAGGGAAGGTTCCTTCTTTCTCTGTCTTGTGGAATAATGTCAAAAGTATTGGTACCAATTCTTCTTTGAGTGTCTGATAAAATACTGCTATGAATCCATCTGGTCCTAGACTTCTTTTGTTGGTAATATTTAATTACCATTTCGATCTTGCAGCTCATTATTGGTCCATTCAAGGTATTTAAGTCTTCCTGATTTAAGCTAGGAGGGTCATATTTTTCCAGGAATTTATCCATCTCTTCTAGGTTTTCTAATTTATGGGTGTAAAGGTGTTCATAGGAGCCTTGAATGATCTTTTATAGTTCAGTGCTGTCAGTAGTAATATCTCCTGTTTCATTTCTTTGTGAGGTTATTTGGATATTCTCTCTCCTTTTCTTGGTTAATCTTGCCAATGGTCTATAAATTTTATTTATCTTTTCAAAGAACCAGATTTTATTTCATTTTCCTTTTGTAATTTTTTTTGTTTCAATTTCATTTAGTTCCAGTCTGAGCTTGGTTATTTCCTTGCTTCTGCTGGGTTTGTTTGTTCTTGCTTCTCTAGTTCTTTTAGGTGTGACCTTAAATGTCAGTTTGTGCTCTTTCAGTCTTTTTGATGTAGGCATTTATGTTATTCGAGTCCAATAGTACCAAATATTAAATGCATTTAATAAAGAGATCTTCCAAACAGGCTTTGTGTGGGCAACAAGGCCGTTTTATTTCTGGCTTGGGTGCAAGCAGGACTAATTCGAGAAAGGACAGGCAAAGGGGGTAAGGTGGGAATTGGCTTTATAGGTTGGGGTAGTGTTTTGGGGGGCGGGGTATTGCACAGTAAGATCAGTTACAGTGGTGGGGGGTAGGGGCAAGGAGCATACATGACCACAAGTTCAGTTACAGTGGTAGGTGGGGGTGAGGCAAAGTTATTCACATTATCATAAGAACAGTTAAGATGGCAGGGTTGGGTGAGAGGTATTCACATTATCATAAGAACAGTTAAGGTGGCAGGGTTGGGTGAGAAGTATTCACATTATAAGAACAGTTAAGGTGGCAGGGTTGGGTGAAAGGCTTGTTAGGGAAGCTCTGCTGGGCTATCAGGGACAATGGCGAATGCAGGCAGCGGGTAGGAGATGATCAGCTGAGGCAAGCAGGACTTCAGATTTTCAGGCTCCAGGCTTACATATGGAAATCTGACAGTTTAGAACTATGAGTTTCCTCTTAGCACTGCCTTTGCTGTATTTCAGAGGTTAGGATAGGTTGGGTCATTATTGTCATTCAATTCAAAGGAATTTTTAATTTCCATCTTGATTTTGTTTTTGACACCATGCTTATTCAGGAGCAGGTTATTTAATTTCCATATATTTTCATGGTTTTGAAGGTCCCTTTTGGAGTTGATTTTCAGTTTTATTCCACTGTGCTCTGAGAGAGTGCTTAATATTTCAATTTTCTTAAATTTATTGAGGCTCATTTTATGGCCTATCATATGGCCTATCTTGGAGAAAATTCCATGTGCTGTTGTATTCTGTGGTTGTTGGATGAAGTGTTCTGTATATATCTGTTAAGTCCATTTGTTTCAAGGTATAGAGTAAATTTATTGTTTCTTTGTTGACTTTCTGTCTTGATGACCTGTCTAGTGCTGTCAGTGTAGTATTGAAGTCCCCCACTATTATTGTGTTGCTGTCTATCTCATTTCTTAGGTCTATTAGTAATTGTTTTATAAATTAAGGAGCGCCACTGCTAGGTGCATATTAGGATTGTGATATTTTCCTGTTGAACAAGGCTTTTTACCATTGTATACTGTCACTCTTTGTCTCTTTTAACCACTGTTGCTATAAGGTTTGTTTTGTCTGAGATAAAAATAGCTACCCCCTGCTCATTTTTGGTGTCCATTTGCATGAATGTCTTTTTCCGCCCCTTTTAAGTTTATGTGAGTCATTATGTGTTAGTTAATCCTTTGAAGGCAGCAGATACTTTGTTGGTGAGTTCTTATCCATCCTGTGGTTCCGTATCTTTTAAGTGGAGCATTCAGGCCATTTACATTCAATGTTAATATTGAAATGTGAGGTACCGTTGCTTTCATCATGCTTCTTGTTGCTTGTGTACTTTGGGCTTTTTGTTTTTGCTTTTTAACTTGTATTTTTGTTTTGTAGGTCCTATGTGATTTATGTTTTAAGGAGATTCTGTTTTGATGACTTTTTTTCATGATTTATTTTAAGATTTAGAGCTCCTTTTAGCATTTCCTGTAGTGATGGTTTGGTAATGGCAAATTCTCTCAGCATTTGTTTGTCTGAAAATGACTGTATCTTTCCTTCATATATGATACTTAGTTTCACTGGATTCAGAATTCTTGGCTGATAATTGTTTTGTTTGAGGAGGCCGAAGATAGGTCCTTTCTAGTTTGTAGGGTTTCTGCTGAGATACCTGCTATTAATCTGGCAGGTTTTCTTTTATTGGTTACCTTGTGCTTAGGTCTCACAGCTCTTAAGGGTCTTTCCTTTGACTTAACTTTGGACAACCTGATGACACTGTGCCTAGGCAAAGATCTTTTTGCGATGATTTTCCCAGGTGTTCTTTGTGCTTCTTGTATTTGGCTGTCTAGGTCTCTCACAAGGCTGGGGAAATTTTCCTTGATTATTCCCCCACATATGTTTTCCAGGCTTTTAATATTCTCTTCTTCCTCAGGTAGGTACACCGATTGTTCTTTCATTTGGCTGTTTAACATAATCCCAGACTTCTTGGAGGCTTTGTTCATATTTTCTTATTTTTTATTCTTTTTCTTTGTTGGATTGGGTTAATTCCCACTCTGTTGGTGGGAATGTAAATTAGTATAGTCATTAAGGCAAACAGTATGGAGATGGCTCAAAAAATTAAAAATAGGACTACTATATAATCTAAAAATTCTGCTACTGGATATATATATTATATATATATGATATATATAATATATATCATATATATATATATATTATATATCACATATATAAATCATATATATTATAATATATAAATCATATATATCACATATATAAATCATATATATTATATAATATATAAATCATATATTATAATATATAAATCATATTTATATTATATATGATTTATATATATAATATAAAATATAATATATTATATAATATTTATTATATATAAAATATAAAATATATAAAATATAAAAATATATATTTATTATATTATAAAATATAATAAAAACATATATAATAACATAATATATATATTATATAATATATAAATATAATAATGACTCATTATATATTATATATATTATATATTTATTATATTATATATTATATATAATATATATAATATAATAATTATTTTTAATATATTATATCATGATTTATTATATATTATATAATATATAATATAATATATGTGATATATATTATATACATGATTTATATATATGTGATATATATATATAATCATGTCAAAGAGGTATCAACATTCCCATGTCCATTGCATTATTATTCACAACAGTTAAGATATGGAATCGACCTGAGTGTTCATCAACAAATGAATAATGTTACATATGTGATATAGCTAGCCTAGAGTTAGAACTGGTACAATGCCATTTTATAAAGAGAAAAAACTGTTTCCATTCTCCTCAGTGATTGCTAACCTTGGCTTCTGTAAACTGCTGGATTATTTGCAGGATGCAAAGTGAGGTAAAGCTGCATATCTTCTATTATCTGTAACTGCCAGAATTGCTGGCCTTTGTTTACCAGAGTAAGCACCCCCAGATAATTCCATCCTGGTGCCAAGTAAATAAAAATCTATGGATCCCACCCCTACCCAGACGATGTGTAAACGAATGCTAATTTTAGCATCTGTGAACCCCTTGAATGACAATCAGAATGTCAAATAGTCCCCTGGCCCTTGAAATGTCCGGAACCCCCTCACCCTCATCCCTGCCCAGAAGGTGATTTGAATCCACTGGCCCTCGGAATGTCTAAAGCCCCTCACCCCATCCTCTCCCCTCACCCCCAAGGTGATTTTATGGGTATAAAAAGTCTTGTCACCCTCTTTTACGGGGCCACAGGTTGGAGAGACATGAGTCCTCTGTGGTCGCCGGCAATAAACCCTGCAATTTGGCATACCTTTGTTCTGGTGTTGACTTTCTGTGCTCGGTTCGATATAACATATATGTGCATAGTGGAATGTTATTCAGCCTTTTAAAAGAAGGAAATTCTGCCATTTGCTATAATGTAGATGATCCTGGAGGACATTTATATTATTGAAATAAGCTAGTCACAGAAAGATAACTACTACTTGATTGCACTTATATGTGGAATTTTAAAGAGTTGAACTCATACAAACAGAGTAAAACAGTGATTATCAGAGGCTGGTGGGTGCAGAAAATGGTGTGGGGGGTGATCGTTCCAAAGATGCAAGATTTCAGTTAGACACGAGGAATCAGTTGAAGACATCTATTGTCAGTCATGGTGACTATAGTTAATAACCATGTATTATATGCTTGAAAATTGCTAAAAGAGTAGACTTTGTGTTCACACTCCAAAAAATGACAAGAATGTGAAGCAGTGCATAAGTTAGTTTGATTTAGCCATTCCACAATGTATGCTTATATTAAACATGTTACACACCATAAATATATATAATTTTTGTCAATTAACAAATAAGTTTTAAAAGATTTTCTCTTTATACTAATGTTTATAATTTTGTGTTGTAGTGCCTTTTGTTTGACTTCCCATATTATTATTGCTTTTGTTTAAAACCTCCTATCTTTTCTTACAGCTGATGGGAAGATAAGTCAACTTAAACTGATGGATACCATAAAGACTCTAAAAGGTGAGTAATAAGACATAAAACTAAAATCTTTAACCTTCACAATAGTACTTTAATAAAGCTATTAAATGTTTGTACTTGGTTACAAAAACATGTTCATAATACCCAAAACTTGTAGAAAACCAAGGAAGCATAAAGAGGGCAAAAAAATCACCCCTAGTTTACAACCAAAGACAGATTACCTGTGTCTATATTTTGGTACATTTCTTTTAATTCTCTTTTATATTTTGCATTGAAATTCTTGGTTTTGATTTTTAGTGTTTATATTATTTCATGACTAAAAAATGCTAATCATATTTTATTGATTGATAATTTGTATCCACTGATACTGAATTTGTTTTATGGACAAAGAATCACTGTACTACTCTAACATTCAACAACTTCTATGATCTATTTATATATTTTTTCTAAATAATGTAACTTACTCTGGCTTTTTTTTTTTTTACTTTTAAACAGCTTTATTGAGATATAATTTATGTACCGTGCAATCAACCCATTTAAAGTATACAATTTTAGAATATTCAGAGTCATGCAACCATCACCACAATCTACATTCAGAATGTTTTTATCACCCCAAAAGGAAACTCTAGACCCATTACTTTCCTCACTTTCGATCCTACCTCCTGCCCTAGGCAACCGTTAATCTACTTTTAATCTACCTGTTCTGGATATTTCTTATGGATAGAATCAGACAATATATGGTCTATGGTGACTGGCTTACTTTTAATTTTTTCATTGCTTTTCTAAAACTTTTAGAGATGCTTATAAGATTCATCTTAGATCTGTTACAAAGATGAACTATACCAACAATATATTTTCTAATGTAGAAACACCCTCACATTCTTGAAATGACTTCCTTTACTTAACTACTAGATTGTCTTTACTAATAATTTATTTCAATTTTTACACCAATATTGTACTGCAGATTGTCTTCTGTGCTTTTTGTGTACTACTTCATAGAATAAATTTAGAAGCTTTCCTTCTTCACTTAGCCTCTGGAGCAATTTAAATGGCATTAAATTTATCCCCTATGAAATTGCCTGGATAGAGTCCATTTTAGAAATTTAGATCTTTGACAACTTTATTTCTTCTATGTTAATTGGTCTTTCAAATTTTTCTCCCTGTTCTGGAATCTGTTTCAGTAAATTTTATTCTCCTAGAAAACTATCCACTTCTAAATATTTCAGATATGTTTGCATAGGATTTTGGAAACCAGGCTCCTAGGATTCATCTAATTCCAACTGCCACTGTGGTTATTTTCTTTCTTGTTTTTAATTTTATATATTTGTGTCTTCTCCCTTTTTCTTGCATAGTTAGCTGGCATTTATCTCCTATAATATTTATTTTTTAAGACCCATCTCTTGGATATATATACATCATTGCCATTTTTCAGTTTTCTAATTTATTGACTTTTTTCTTATTATACTTTAAGTTCTGGGATACATGTGCAGATCTTGCAGTATTGTTGCATAGATACATACATGCCATGGTGGTTTGCTTTCTGCCTCTCCCTGTCACCTACATCAGGCATTTCTAACCCAATGTTACCCATCCCCAACTTCCCCACCCATTGCTGTCCCTCCGCTAGCTCCCCAACCCCCCATAGACCCCAGTATGTGACATTCCCCTCCCTGTGCCCATGTGTTATCATTGTTCAACACCTGCCTATGAGTGAGAACATGTGGTGTTTGGTTTTCTGTTCTTGTGTCAGCTTGCTGAGAATGATGGTTTCCAGATTCATCCATGTCCCTACAAAGGATATGAACTCATGGCTTTTTTATGGCTGCATAGTACTCCATGGTATATATATGTACCATATTTTCTTTGTCCAGTCTATCAATAATGAGTATTTTGCTATTTTAAGCAATGCCGTAATGAACATATGTATGCATGTGTCTTTGTAATAGAACAATTTATAATCCTTTTGGTGTATACCCAGTAATGGGATGCTGAGTCAAATGGAATTTCTATTTCTAGATCCTTGAGGAATCGCCACACAGTCTTCCACAATGATTGAATTAATTTACACTCCCACCAATAGTGTAAAAGTGTTCCTCTTTCTCCACATCCTCTCCAGCATCTGTTGTCTCTAGATTTTTTAATGATCGCCATTCTGACTGGCATCAGATGGTATCTCAATGTGGTTTTGATTTGCATTTATCTAATGAAAAGTGATAATGAGAATTTTTTTATATGTTTGTTGCCCTCTAAATGCCTTCTTTTGAAAAGGTCTGTTCATATCCTTCGCCCACTTTTGAGGGTTTGTTTGCTTTTTTCTTGTACATCTGCTGTAGTTCTTTGTAGATTCTGGATATTAGCCCTTTGTTAGATGGGTAGATTGCAAAAATTTTTCCCATTCTGTTGGTTGCCGGTTCACTCTGAAGATTGTTTCTTTTGCTGTATAGAAACTCTTAAGATTAATTAGATCCCATTTGTCTATTTTGGCTTTTGTTCCCTTTGCTTTTGGTGTTTTAGTCATGAAGTCCTTGTCTATGCCTATGTCCTGAATGGTTTTGCCTAGGCTTTCTTCTAGGGTTTTTATGATGTTAGGTCTTATGATTAAATTTTTAATATATCTAGAGTTAATTTTAGTGTAAAGTGTAAGGAAGGGATCCAGTTTCAGCTTTCTGCACATGGCTAGCCAGTTTTCCCAACACTATTTATTAAACAGGGAATCCATTCTCCATTGCTTGTTTTTCTCAGGTTTGTCAAAGATCAGTTGGTTGTAGTTGTGTGGCATTACTTCTGAGGCCTCCATTCTGTTCCATTGTTCTATGTCTCTGTTTTGGTACCAGTTCCATGCTGTTCTGATTACTGTTGCCTTGTAGTATAGTTTGTAATTAGGTAGCATGATGCCTCCAGCTTTGTTCTTTTTGCTTAGGATTCTCTTGGCTACGTGGGCTCTCTTTTGGTTCCATATGAAGTTTAACGTGTTTTTTTTCCAATTCTGTGAAGAAGGTCAATGGTAGCTTGATGGGGATAGCATTGAATCAATAAATTACATTGGCCAGTATGGCCATTTTCACAATCTTGATTCTTCCTAACCATGAGCATGGAATGTTTTTCCATCTGTTTGTGTCCTCTCTTATTTCGTTGAGCAGTGGTTTGTAGTTCTCCTTGAAGAGGTCCTTCACATCCCTTGTTAGTTGAGTTCCTAGGTATTTTATTCTCTTTGTAGCAATTGTGAATGGGAGTTCACTCATGGTTCGGCTCTCTGTCATTGGTGTATAGGAATGCTTGTGATTTTTGCACATTGATTTTATATCCTGAGACTTTGCTGTAGTTGCTTATCAGTTTCAGGAGATTTTGGGCTGAGACAATGGGGTCTTCTAAATATACAATCATATCATCTGCAAATAGAGACAATTTGACTTCCTCCTTTCCTAACTGAATACACTTTATTTCTTTTTCTTGCCTGACTGCTCTGGCTAGAACTACTAATACTATATTGAATAGGAGTGGTGAGAGAGAGCATCCTTGTCTAGTGCCAGATTTCAAAGAGAATGCTTCCAGTTTTTGCCCATTCAGTATGATATTAGCTGTGGGTTTGTAAATAGCTTTTATTATTTTGAGATACGTTCCATTGATACCTAGTTTATTGAGAATTTTTAGCATAAAGAACTGTTGAATTTTGTCAAAGGCCTTCTCTGCATCTGTTGATATGATCATGTGGTTTTTGTCTTTGGTTCTGTTTATGTGATGGATTAAATTTATAGATTTGCATATGTAGAACTAGCCTTGCATCCCTGGGTTGAAGCCTACCTGATCGTGATGGATAAGCTTTTTGATGTGCTGTTTTATTCGGTTTGCCAGTATTTTATTGAAGATTATTGCATCAGTGTTCATCATGGATATTGGCTTGAAGTTTTCTTTTTTAGTTGTGTCTCTGCCAGGTTTTGGTATCGGGATGATGTTGGTCTCAAAAGATGAGTTAGGGAGGATTCCCTCTTTTTGTGTTGTTTGGAATAGTTTCAGAAGGAATGGTACCAGCTCCTCTTTGTACATCTAGTAGAATTCGGCTGTAAACCCATCTGGACCTGGCCTTTTTTTGGTTGGTAGGCTATTAATTGCTGCCTTTACTTCAAACCTTGTTATTGATCTATTCAGGATTCAGCTTCTTCTTGGTTTAGGCTTGGGAGGGTGCAAGTGTCCAGGAATTTATTCATTTCTTTCAGGTTTACTGGTTTATGTGCATAGAGTTGTTTTTAGTAATCTCTGATGGTAGTTTGTATTTCTGTGGATTTGGTGGTGATATTCCCTTTATCATTTTTTATTACATCTATTTGATTTTTCTCTCTTTTCTTTTTTATTAGTCTGGCTATCAGTCTCTTTTGTTGATCTTTTCAAAAAACCAGCTCCTGGATTTATTTATTTTTTGAAGGGTTTCTTTGTGCCTCTATCTCTTCAGTTCTGCTCTGATCTTAATTATTTCTTGTCTTCTGCTAGCTTTTGAATTTCTTTGATCTTGCTCCTCTAGCTCTTTCAATTTTGGTGACAGGGTTTTGATTTTAGATCTTTCCTCATTTCTCCTCATTTTTCATGTGGTCATTCATTGCTATAAATTTCCCTCTAGAAACTGCTTTAAATGTGTCCCAGAGATTCTGGTACATTGTGTTTTCATTCTCATTGGTTTGAAGAACATCTTTATTTCTGCCTTCATTTCATTGTCTATCCAGTCATCATTCAGGAGCAAATTGTTCAGTTTCCATGTAGTTGTGTGGTTTTGGGTGAGTTTCTCATTCTTGAGTTCTAATTTGATTGCACTGTGGTCTGAGAAACTGTTTGTTATGATTTCTGGAGTGATTTGCTGAGGAGTGATTTACTTCCAATTATGTGGTCAATTTTAGAGTGTGATTGGTTGCTGAGAATAATGTATATTCTGTGGATTTGGGGTGGAGAGTTCTGTAGATGTCTTTTAGGCCCACTTGGTCCAGATCTGAATTCAAGTTCTGGATGTCCTTGTTGATTTTCTGTCTCATTGATCTGTCTAATATTGACAGTGGAATGTTAAAATCTCCCACTATTATTGTACAGAAGTGTAAGTCTCTTTGTAGGTCATTAATAACTTGCTTTTTGTATCTGGGTACTCCTGTATTGGGTGCATATATATTTGAAATAGTTAGCTCTTCTTGTTGCATTGATCCTTTTACCATTATATAATGCCCTTTTTTGTCTCTTTTGATCTTTGTTGGTTTAAAGTCCATCTTATCAGAGACTAGGATTGCAACCCCTGCTTTTTTTTTGCTCTCCATTTGCTTGGTAATTCTTCTTCCATATCTTTATTTTGAGTCTATGTGTGTTTTTGCATGTGGGTTGGGTCTCTTGAATACAGCACACCAATGGGTCTTGACTTTTTATCCAGCTTGCCAGTCTGTGTTTTTTGATTGGGGCATTTAGGCCATTTACATGTAATGTTAATATTGTTATATGTGAGTTTGATCCTGCCATTTTGTTACTGGCTGGGTTTTTTGCCTGTTAGTTGATGCAGTTTCTTCATTGTGTCATTGGCCTTTACCATTTGGTTTGTTTTTGCAGTGGCTGGTATTGGTTGTTCCTTTGCATATTTAGTGTTTCCTTCAGAAGCTCTTGTAAGGCAGGTCTGGTGGTGATGAAATCTTTCAGCAATTGCTTATCCATAAAGGATTTTATTTCTCCTACACTTATGAAGCTTAGTTTGACTGGATATGAAATTCTGGGTTGAAAATTCTTTTCTTTTAGGATGTTGAATAGTGGCCCCTACTGTCTTCTGGCTTGTAGGGTTTCTGCTGAGAGATCTGCTGTGAGTCTGATGGGCTTCCCTTTGTGGATGACCCAATCTTTCTCTCTGGCTGCCCTTAGCATTTTTTCCTTCATTTCAACCTTGGTGAATCTGACAATTATGTGCCTTGGGGTTGCTTTTCTTGAGGAATATCTTTGTGGTGTTCTGTGTATTTCCTGGATTTGAATGTTAGCCTGCCTTGCTAGGTTGGGAAAGTTCTCCTGGATAATATCCCGAAGAGTGTTTTCCAGCTTGGATTCATTCTCCCCATCACATTCAAGTACACCGATTGAACATAGGTTAGGTCTTTTCACATAATCCCATATTTCTTGGAGGCTTTGTTTATTTATTTTCACTCTCTTTTCTCTAATCTTGCCTTCTCATTTTATTTCATTTAGTTGATCTTCAATCTCTGATATCCTTTCTTCTGCTTGATCGATTCGGCTATTGAAACTTGTGTATGCTTCACGAAGTTCTCATGCTGTATTTTTCCATTCCATTAAGTTGTTTATATTCTTCTCTAAGCTGATTATTCTAGTTAGCATTTTGTCTAACCTTTTTTCAAGGTTTAGTTTCTTTGCATTGGGTTAGAAGATGCTCCTTTAGCTCAGAGAAGTTTGTTATTACCCACCTTCTGAAGCGTGCTTCTGTCAATTCGTCAAACTCATTCTCCATCCTGTTTTGTTCCCTTGATGGTGAGGAGTTGTGATCCCTCAGTGAAGGAGAGGCATTCTGATCTTTGATGGTTTCATCCTTTTTGTGGTGGTTTCTTCCCATCTTCATGGATTTATCTACCTTTGATCTTTGAAGTTGGTGATTTTGGATGAGGTCTCTGAATGGATATCCTTTCTGTTGATGTTGAAGCTATTTCTTTTTGTTTTTTAGTTTTCCTCCTAACAGCCAGGTCCCTCTGCTATAGGACTGCTGGAGGTCCACTCCAGACCTTGCTTGCCTGGGAATCACCTATGTGGTTTGCAGACAGCAAGGATTGCTGCCTGATCTTTCCTCTGGTAGCTTCATCCCAAATAGGTACCCACCAGGTATCAACCAGGGCTCTCCTGTATGAGGCATCTTTTTGGTTATACAGGGGTCAGGGAGCCACTTGAGGAGGCAGTCTGTCCCTTGTCTGCCTTTAGAGGCACTGCTGGGCTGTCATGGACTCAGTCCAGCTGTTGTGTAAACTTCCTCTGGCTTTTGTTTACACAGGTAGTTTTAGAACTGCCTCAGCAATGATGGACACCCTTTCCCCCACTGAGCTTGATTGTCCCAGGTCAAGCTAGAACTGATGTGCTGGCTGCAAAACTCTCAAGTGAGAGGCTGGCTACAAAACTCTCAGTTTGCTGGTCTTTGTGGAGGTGTAACCCACTCAGCCATATCACCTGTCTCCCTACTTTCAGCCCCCCATCTTTCTGGAGAGCAGGTAGCTTCATCCCACAAGTGCTCTTGGTGCTAGTCAAAATGTCTTCCCAGATCTGTGCTGACAACCCATGGTGCCAGCCAGAGCTGCCACTCAGATCTGTGCTGTTAACTTGCAGTGCTTTTCAGCCCAGCAGGGATCTCCTGGTCTGTGGGTTGCAGAAGCCATGGGAGAAGCACGGTATCTGAACTGGAGTGCTCAGGGGTAGGGGCTAAGTCCCTGACCCTCCAGTTGGTTGCACTTTCTGCGTGTGGCAGTACCCCACCCTACCTTGGTTTGCCTCCTTGGGCTACACCAACTGTCCAGCCAGTCCCATTGAAATGAACCTGGTACCTTGGTTGGAAATGCAGTGATCATTCGCCTTCTGCATCTCTCTTGCTAGGGACTGTGCTCTGGAGCTGTTTCTATTCAGCTATCTTGGCAGAATCCCCTTACTCTGGCTTTCTTAAAGTGGGCATGTTTTTGACCTACACAGAAATATTGCTGTTGTAAATCAGCAGTATTTAAGTTACTTTAGTAACCAAATAAATAAGTAGAAATCTAGAAGGGTTAGATGAAGTAGAAGAGAACAAATACTATTTCTGGTATAGATAGTAAGTAGTGGCACAAATAATTGACTTAATATCTACTGGTGAAATTTAGTGTGGGACAATTACCAACTTCACATTTAAAAAATTTGGTTTAGGCTAGTCATCAGAGGTATAATTTTAATCCTTGAACAATGATTAATGATGTCAGGTTCTATTGCTAATTTTGCTATTTATTTTATATGTATTTTTAAATAAATTTAATAAGTATTTTAAAACAAATTTAATCATGCAAGTTTGCTTGAAAGCACAACATTCAGAGTGCTTTATCTCACAGATATTATGTTATATATATGTGTGCACATAGATAAACACATTTTTTTCTCTAATTTGTCTCATCTTTCTTAAGGAGCCAAGATTAATACTAAAAAGCCTAACAATATTCAGGAGAAGTTGGGATTGGAACTCACAGATAAGGAGTCTTGGAATCTACAACAACATTTACCAGTTGATGGTAAACATTTCTGGCATTGCTGATATTTTTAGAGGAACTTATCTATGAGAATTAGTTAAATGATACCTGTATTGCCATATTGCAGCTTTTAAATGTATTCAGAAATGTTAACTCTTAAATATGTTAAAATATTGTCTTCTGTTATAATTCTTTGGTGTCATTGGTAGGCTTAAGCAATATCTGAGAGTGTCTCTACTATGAGTGACTTAACTTAGGAAAAGAAAACAGATAAAGGAAAATACAAAGGTAAATGAGGAGATATAGAAGGAAAGAGAAGGCCTGAAAGTAAGATACCAAGAAATGGAGAATAATGCCAGGAAGAGGTTAGTTTCAACTGTTCTTAGACCAGAAATGAGGGCAGGCTGAAGATCACCCATAAATGTGATCTGATTCTTTTTTTTTCTCAACTTTTATTTTAAATTCAAGGGTACATGTGCAGGTTTGCTACATAGGTAAACCTGTGCCATAGTGGTTTGCTGCACAGCTCAACCTATCACCTAGATATTAAGCCCAGTATCCATTAGCTATTCTTCCTGATGCTTTCCACCTTACCTCCAATGGCAGGTCCCAGTGTGTGTTGTTCCCCCCATCTATCCATGTGTCTCATTGTTCAACTACCAATCATAAATGAGAACATGTGGTGTTTGATTTTCTGTTCCTGCATTAGTTTGCTGAGGATAATGGCTTTCAGCTTCAACCATGTCCTGCAAAAGACATGCTCTTATTCCTGTTTGTGGCTGCATAATATTCCATGGTGTATATGTAGATCTTCTTTATCCAGTATATCATTGGTGGGCATTTGGGTTGATTCCATGTCTTTGCTATTGTGAATAGTGCCACAATGGACATACTTGTGAATGTATCTTTGTAATAGAATTATTTCTAGTCCCTTGGGTTACATATGTACCCAATAACTAAATTGCTGGGCCAAATGGTATTTCTGGTTCTGGATCTTTGAGTAATCACCACACCGTCTTTCACAGTGGTTGCACTAATTTACATGCTCGCCAACAGTATAAAAGCATTCCTATTTCTCTCAGGGAAACGCAGTTTAAGGCATAAATAGATATCACTCTTCATCCACTAGAATAGCTAAAAATAAAAAGTTCAGCAACACCCAGTATTGGTAGTGATGTGAAGCAATTGAAACTCATATAATCTAAAGGGTCTTCTAACCACTGTGGAGATTAGTATGGTAGTTTCTTTTCTTTCTTTTTTAAAATTGTACTTTAGGTACTGGGGTACATGTGCAGATCATGCAGGATTGTTTCATAGGTACATGCATGGCAAGGTGGTTTGCTGCCTCCATCCCCCCATCACCTATACCTGGCATTTCTCCCCACATTATCCTTCCCCCCTCCCCCCGCACTTTCCCTCCCTTAGCCCCTCCAACTGATCCCAGTGTGTGATGCTTCCCTCCCTGTGTCCATGTGTTCTCATTGTTCAACACCCACCTATGAGTGAGAACATGTAGTGTTTGATTTTCTGTTCTTGTGTCAGTTTGCTGAGAATGATGGTTTCCAGATTCATCTATGTCCCCACAGAGGACATGAACTCATTTTTTATGGCTGCATAGTATTCCATGGTGTATATGTGCCACAAATCTGGAGACAACAGATGCTGGAGAGGATGTGGAGAAATAGGAATACTTTTACACTGTTGGTGGGAGTGTAAATTAGTTCAACCATTGTGGAAGACAGTATGGCAATTCCTCAAGGATCTAGAAATAGAAATTCCATTTGACCCAGAAACTCCAAACATATCAAAAAATGCTCATCATCACTGGTCATTAGAGAAATGCAAATCAAAACCACATTGAGATATCATCTCACGCCAGTTATAATGGTAGTTTTTAAGAAGTTGAACATAAACTTACTCTAAAACTCAGTACTCTCACTCCAGTATAGTTTTCCAAGAGAAAGAAATGTATATTTTCTCAAAAATATTTGTGCATGAATGCTCACAGCTTTATTCATAGTAGTTAAAAACTGGAAATAATCCTAATGTCCATCCACCCTCAAAGAGATCAACAAAGTATACTATTCATACAATGGAATATTACTCAGCAATATAAATGAATGATTTACTGATAACATGCAACATTCTGGATGAATTTCAAAACATTATGCTGAGTGAAAGAAGACAGGCATGAAATAATACTGACTACATGATACTTTTTATGAAATTCAAGAACAAGCAAACATACCAGAAAGTACATCAGTGATTGTTTGTTTTAGAGGGACTAATAGCATAGAAAGGGAACTTTTGGGGGGGTGATGGAAATGTTTTGTATCATAATTCTAGTATTGTTTACATGGGTATATGTATTTGTTAAAACTTATCAGACTGAACACTTAAAATTATGGTTTATTGTATGTAAATTATGCCTCAACAAAGTTGATTTAAAAACAAAGAGAAATGGAAGTATCAGATATACAATAAAAATGGTATTTAAAAAAATAGTTACTCTCAGGAATAGGAAGGAACAAGGTGTCTAAAACTGGAAAAGAGAGTGCACTTCTCCAAACCTTCTTGTTTTAGAGTTTTTATCTTGGGTTCATATTATAGGCTTGACTCATTAAATCATTGGTCATATGATTGAACTCAATCTCTAGTCCCTTTCTCTTCTCCAGAGGTCAGGAGATGGGGGGTGGGGCTGAAAGTTTAAACTCTATAATCACATGGTTGGTTTCCTGGTAACCAGCCTCCCCTTCCCCAAGCTATCCAGGGATCCATACCATGAGTTACTTCATTAGTGTATCTCAAGTATGGTCTAAAAGGGCTCCTTATTAATAACAAAGAAACTCTCATCACTCTATAACAGGAACTGAGGACCAAAAGAAAATATATTTTTATTACAACACAACCCCTAAAACCCAGACTGTGGTCTCTATGTTCTATATCCCCCTTCTTCAAAAGGGAGCATGGTGTTATCGGCAGAACATATCTAAGACATGGCACCCAAGTGTTAGCAGTAGTGAATCAGCACAGGTCTGCAGCAACCTCAATTCTTGCCTCCTCAGAGGAAAAAATTTGACTGAGGGGCATAAAGCAGAAAGAGAGACTGAGGCAAGTTTTAGAGTAGGAGTGAAAGCTTATTAAGAAGCTTTAGAGCAGGAACACAAGGAAGGAATGTGCACTTGGAAGAGGGCTAAGTGGGCCACTTGAAAGACAAGTATGCAGTCTGACCTTTTAACTTGGGGTTTCATATGTTAGCATACTTCTAGGGTCTTGCATCCCTTCTCCCCTGATTCTTCCCTTGGGGTGGGCTGTCCACATGCACAGTGGCCTGCTAGTGCTTGCAAAAGGATTTACTGGATTAGGGGATTATTTGAGGTGTTCTTCCCTTGCCAGCTGAATGTTCCTAGAAGTTCATATACCAGTTAAACTCCACCATTTTGCTTCTTAATTCTCATACTTGAGCCCATTCACCCAACTCCTGAGATCTTATTGGGAAGCTTCTGATCCCCAGTTTTAGGTGTTTCTGTTTATTAAGAGACTACCTTTTCCTGATGCTAGCTGTGAGAAATTGTATTTTTAGAGAGAGAGTTAAAAACCACCTGACCAGCACCTGCTGGTCACCTGACATTCCTGATGTATGGGGGTGGATGGAGCCAGAGTGTCTCCTGCTCTGCTCATGTCTGACTAGCTACCTCCTGTAATAATGGCTTTTTGGAGAAATGGTTGATCCCAGATATGGCAAAGACAATGTACAAGAGCCTGGAATATTTCATAATGCCACAAAGCAATAAAACTATCCAGTGCTACTAGGTTTATGTCAAAAGAACTCAAAAACTGACTTGAATAGGTTCCCCCTGGCCAAAGATAGGACAATTTGATCATCAGTAAGAATAATTGCAGTAATTTGAAACAAATCGTTAAATCTATGAGTTTTTTTAAATAATACTCAAGTGAAACAGCAAAACAAACAACTAACAAAATTATCACAAATCATCACTGGAAGAGTCTAGGAAACAAATTATTTTGAGACTGGTATATAGAGGGAAATAAGCACTTTCTCTACAAAGTTTAATTTGTAGTAGCCAAATAACTGAAGACGAAGTTTATCTTATGAATGTATTGCAGCTAAACGAAAAAAGGAATGATTGGAATTGAATATGAAGATTTTGCAACCTTTAATAATTTGATGGGTCTAGTCTATAATTATCAGTGATCACTATTATCACCCAAAAATAACGAAAACTAGACTTTGTTTTCAGATGCAAATACAAAATACCAGCTGTGAGTTATTTGTTTTCCAATTGACCCTGTATTTGGTCGAGCCTCTATGTCTTACTACCAATTCACAGAAAAAGATAGAGCACAGAGGAATATGTTAAACCACACCATGGGGGTATAATAATCAAAATCCAGGTTATGGGAAACTCTAAAGAGCTAACAATGTAGTGTTTTCAAAAAAGCGCAGGGAAAAATGAGGTCAAGTAGGGACCTATAAATTAAAAAAGACATGATTAGTGTCTGGAGCAGCCACAGGGTTCTGGAAGTCCAGATGGTCTTTCTGCTGCTAAGCCTTGGTCTGGCTCCCATCATCCTCTCATAATGGACAATATTCACTAGCTCCTCCTGTGGACTACCATGTTATAGGAAGGGAAAATAGTTTACACATTGCATGACCAAAGGAACAAAGGTGACCAGAGTACTCTTAACTCTATTAGAACTGTTTTTTCTTTTGTGTCTGCAATATGGGATGGCATTGTTTTCATGAACTTCTAGAAACTTCATCTGCAAGCTTATTTTTGCTTCCTGTGTTATCATCATTCCCATTTACAGTATATTTGAATAAATGATTATATTTAAAAAGTTACATAGAGCTTTTTGATTGTCCTAAACTTAAAACATTTCACTTGTTTCATTTGTAACTGTGATCATAATTTTTGCGATGATTTCTGGCCTGATTAAAGGAAATTTGAGAGCTCTACATTTAAATACTTTAAGTAAATTTGAAGGTTTTAAAATTGCTTTTTATAAAATAAGGCATTTATAGTTATTTGGGGTTGTCTGGCATTATATGAAAGAAAATTAAAACCACACCGTACTTACACTTACCTTGATGGATTATTTGTGGGTGGCAGTTTTCTCTAGTTCTTGGCAGTGTGACAGCTCTTGGAATACTTTGCAAATTACAGCTGAAATCTGTATCCTCCATTACAGTTGGTTTATGTGACTAGACTAGGAGGAAAGAAGAAATCAAATGGTTATTTGCTAATTATTTTACTCCTATAAAAATGTCTAATGTTAAGAAAACTTTCAATAAACACATTTGGTCAACATGATAGATGATTTACAGTCCTTCATGAAAGGAGAAAAAAATTAATTCTTTCTGTCTTTGCCTGATATAATCTATATAGTAATGATGTAAGTCATAATTTATTTTAAAGTGAGTGGCTCTTGGGAAACTTCTGTTCTAATACTTCCATGTTAAAGTTAAATTATCTTAAAGCTGTATGAGGACCTATTAGATTACTGATAATTGAATACTTATTTGTTCATTTACTCCATTGAGTCTTTTGTTATGCTTCTGATTTATAAAAACATAAATGATGGGATCCATACTCCAAATCTCAGCATCATGCAATATTCTCATGTAACAAATCTGTACATGTACCCCCGTATCTAAAATTTAAAAATAAAGCAAAAGAAAATGCAGCACAAAAATTTTTAATGAATTTTTGGTTTACTTCAAGGAGAAAAGAGGAAAATGAGAAAATGCAGGGATCTTTTTCTCACCCCTTATCTAATTTCTGTAGGTAATGAGCGAAACATTAATATATATGAAATTTGAAATGCATTAAAAAAGTGAAAGTTTACATTGTTTTGCTCAGTTTGAAAAAGTGAATACCAATAGCATAAAAAAGTGTTTGCATGATCTATGTGATTATGGAATTTTTTTCCTACTAAGTGATTGCAGATGACTTATGAGGGCTAGAAGGTATTTTGCTATCAATGTAAGGATTTTTTTCCCTCTCAGGTCAGGCTTATTTTAGAGATCTGAAAAATTACTTGTATGAATTGAACAAACTTCTCTATATCATTGTAAAAACTAAAAAAAAAATTTAAAAGATACCTAAAAGATGTAATAGAATTTGCAGTTGCAGATAACAGACTTTATTAGGATCATTATTTGAACAAACTCAAATAACTGATAAATATCTAAAATAATAATAAACGAATTTGAACAAAGCTCAAAAATTGGGACAATCAGAAAAATATGAAGACAACCTAGATAGTTGATACTTTAAGGAATAGTTTGTTAACAAATTTAGCATGATAATGACTTAGTAATATTTTTTATAGTGTTCTTATATTTTAGTCATATATACTGAAATATTTACAGATGATTTGATATGATGTCTATGATTCGCTCCTAAATAATTAGTATAGGATGGCAGTAGTAGGTGGGAGTAGAGAAAGATTAAGAATGGACATGTTACTAATCATCATATCACTAAATGAGAAGTATTCTAAATGTCCTACTCTCAGGTCATTTGGAAAGACTGTCATGCCGAATTCTAAAATAAAATTTAACTTTCTAAATTTATTTATGAAATATTGGAATCTTTCACAGTTTTTATAAATTATTATATGTATTTGCCTTTTAATGTAACAAAACAATAAATCAGATGAAACAAATAAATGTAATAGAGGCTCTTAAAAGTAAGATGATCCTGGCCAACATGGTGAAACCCTGTCTCTACTAAAAATACAAAAATTGGCAGGGTGTGGTGGTGCATGCCTGTAGTGCCAGCTACTTGGGAGGCTGAGGCAGTTGAATCACTTGAACCCAGCGGTGGGGGAAGTTGCAGTGAGCTGAGCTCAAGCCATTGCCCTCCAGCACAGGCAACAAGAATGAGACTCCATCTCAAAAGAAAATAAAAAGTAAGATGAGGCCAGGCACAGTGCCTCATGCCTGTAATCCAAGCACTTTGGGAGGCCTAGGCGGGTGGATCACTTGAAGTCAGGAGTTTGAGACCAGCCTGACCAACATGGTGAAACCTTGTCTCTACTAAAAATACAAAAATTAGCTGGGCGTAGTGGCAGGTGCCTGTAATCTCAGCTGCCTAGGAGGCTGAGGTAGGAGAATTGCTTGAACCCAGGAGAGGGAGGTTGCAATGAGCTGAGATCATGCCACTGCACTCCAGCCTGGGTAACAGAGCAAGACAGTAACTATGATCCTTTTGCTCTGATTCTTATACCATTTCCTAGTCATTAGATTGTCAGTCTTGCCATCATATATTAATTGGTTGGTTATTATTTTAGATATTCATCAGTTAATACTAGTTAATACTACATGATAAACTGTTTCGTATCTTGGAAAGGAGTTCCAATCTTGATAGGCGAAGAAAAAATCAACCTTGATGTTTATGCAACAAAAATGTGAAATAGAGACCTCAGGATTTTATCAGCAATGGAGACTACCTTTCTAGATAGTCTGGACAACATTTATTTGTCTAACATTTTAATATTAGATTGCTTGCCTTCAGTGCTATAATTCATTCAATTCATTCAGTTAATTAACATTTACTGTGCTCTTAAAGTACCAGGTACTTCTCTAGTATTATAAGTGTAGGAGATACAGTGGTGAATCAGACGATGTTCCTGCCTTCGTGAAAGTCATATTTCCACTAAGGTGAGGGAGAAATTAATAAATAAAAATGAGATGAATTTATGAAGCAGTAAGTGCTGTGAAAGGAAAAGAAGGTAATATGATCAAGAATGGAAGATGCTGGGGTTGCTTTAGATGGGATAGTTAGGGACTGCCTAATAGAGGAGGGGAACATTTCAGCTGAGGTTTGGAGTCAGACTCCTTTTAGAAATCTTGCTGAATAGAATTTTCTTTAACATAAGCCTAATGAAATACATTTTATTTCTAATTCTGATATTAAACCTCATTGCCACTTGGATAGATTTTGGACATAGTATTGATAATACATAGACATTGTTTTGTTTTGGTGATATAGTATCATGATACCTTTTTCATAGTTCTTTCTCTTTTGCAAGAGGGGAAAGTTGATATCAATAACCTTGATACCATTCTAGAGAAAATGGAAATGAATTTCTCTGATAAGGAATTTGAAGAGCTGTCACACAATTTGCCAGGTATTTATGACTATTATAGACACCACCACCGTCATCCCCCTGCAGGGATAATTTAGGCTTGTGTGTTTATGATTTCACATGTTTAAAATTCTACTTTTTTTAGTTCTTGAAATACAGCTGACACATGTTAAGGTAACTCAGTCCAAAAGTAAGCATTTCATTTTGCTGAACTGAGTACTACCTTCATGATATTTTAGAATACTCCATGTTTCTTGAAGTAAATTCAAAGAAGAAAGGCCCATGCTAGGATCTGGAGGAAAGATTTATAAAATATGCAAAACTTAGTGTTTATTCTTAAAGGTGCATTAGATTAAGGGAGAAGATAAATATATAGGCAAAAAATATAAGTGAAAATAATTTAGGGGTTAGAAATATCAGCTTATCATAGGTGCTCACTGAGGACCAAGTGTGACTATGGTCAGTTTAAAGAATTTTGGTGCAAGTGTTTGTGCTGCTTTTAAATCCTGCCCTAGCAGCCTACTTGACTTGGAATGGAACAAATGTTGATTTAGGAATCTGACAGATACAGTTTTCAATATTTTACTTGTGATTTAGGCACAGTTCTTAACTTTCGTGAGGCTCAACTTCTTTATGTGTTTTTTTAAAAAAGAGTCATAGTATCTTCACAGAATTATGAGATGAATCATATGGAAGTATCTAAATACATGGCTTGGTAGACATGCATTAAATTTCCTTTTCTTTCCTTCCTTGAGTGAAAGAGAGCAAATTAGAGAGGTCAGGAGATCAAATGAATCTGCTCGATATGGAGGAAAATACTTAAAAATTTTGGCTTTAATGCTATAGAGTTTAACACTACAGTACTTTAATGAAAAAAAAGCTTGTATATCATTTTTCAAATGCTCATTTTTCCATGTTCTTATGGAGTGGGAAGGGATGATAGAAATACAGTTATAGTGAAAATAGTGGGAAATTATTGATTTCTAATGCTCTGTCTCAGAATTAAGACCTTCACATTGTGTTTTTGAATCTCACTGTGGTCTCTGTGATTTGTATTGTTTTATAGCTGATGGGAAAGTGAAACATATTAAACTGTTGCATGCAGCTATACCTGTTACAGGTAAGAAGTTGATGTAAAACTGAGATACTAATGCTTTACAAACTTCTTTGTAACAGTATTTTGAATATGTAACCATTTCGTTGTAACTTCTGACACTTTATTAACAATAAAAATATTTTCTAATGAACCACTTTGACTTTGAATTTCAGTGTTCTTAAAATAAAATTATAGTGCTGTTTCTTGACAGAAGTCCTCCATCCTCTAGAGGTTTCACCAATAGCATGCTTCACTGATTATACGTTAGAAATATGAAACCTAAGTTGCATAATAAAAATAATAATTACTACTATATAGTGGACACTTTCTATATACCAGGCACTGTGCCAAGTGTTTTGCATGCATTATTACTATTATATCTATTATACAGGTATATTCTTCATTTTAGAAATGAAAGACTAGAGGCTTAGTGGGTAAATATCAGGATAAAATGTATGTAATTTTTCTTTAGATTGTGTCTATGTATAGACAACCAGCTTAATAATTCAAGAGAAAATAATAACGATACTACCTGTTAGTAAATAATTTTAGGTTGTTGATATATAATTTCTGACCTGGAATTATAAGAGGATTACCAAAACATGACTATTTTAGACTATGCAATTAATTGAAAATAGCTCATATCTTTATTTTGATCTATAGCTGAATTAGAGTGATACCTTGCTAGGTATTTGCTTATGTTGCAATTATTAAATAATTCTTAAATGTTTTCCTGGGCTCTTTTTCTAATCTTTCAAAGGAAAGAAAATTGATCTCAGTGACTTTTGAAACATTCCTGGGAATATGTTGGTTAAACTCACAGATAAGAAAATGTTCGACTGATGAATTTCTCTTCAAGGGAGCTTTGTTTTGAGACTGTGTGTGAAAATTTCCAGATCTATATCATATACCAATGCTTTATAAAATATGTTGAAGAAAACATTAGCTCAATATAACTATAATGAAAGATAAAACTGTTTTGTGATTGAAGTTTTTGTATATTTATAGTAGCAAACCATTCACTTATGGTTTCTGCCATCAGTATTAAACAATTTTGAATGGTATACTAGAATTACCTATAGGCCTAAAGTCTAAATATAAAAAAAGAGGGAAACAAGTCTGAGAGGTACAGAAAGAGAAAGTAGGAAAGTAGCCATAGAGAAAAAAATATTAAAGGAATGGGTATGTATATGTAGCAGGTTCAAATTTGGCATACTACAAACTGACGTACACAGTAAATGTGGTATGTTCTTTATTTTTTCTAACCTCATTTCTCTCTCAGTCTCCCATCCTATTCTGGCTGTGGGTGGGATGTTGAAAGATGAGAAGGTAGGACTGAAATTGACCAGTAATCCAATTTCTTCTGGTTTAAGCAAAAAAAAAAAAAAAATCATCTCTTTTAGCTGACCCAGCTCATTTTGGGAAATTACCAGTTTTCAAGACTTTCTCTTATTTCCCTTCAGAAAGTCACCCCAGTATAAGGGAAAGCTTGAGTGTCTTCCTGGTGGTAGAAGAGGGCATCCAGAACTTGTTCTTGATAGTCTCTTTAGCAATGTCCCATATTTCATGGGTTTCCATGGATCCTGTTGACCTCTCCTGTAGAATTCTTCTGCTTGAGAAATTCATGATCTGTTTTCTCAGCAAAGTCAAGATTCTGTGATCCTTCCTTCACTAACTTGGCTCAGTCTTAGCACTGACTGGTGATGAGGACCTCTGCATCTCAGTTAAGTGTTCTGTCTGTACCCAGACTATGCTGTCTACCTCAATCATTTCTGCTAGGAATCATCTTGCCCCCTGACTTGATATCCCATGGCAAACCCACTAGCCTTCCTCTCCCAAATACCTTTCACATTCCTCACTGGAAGTACATGGAAGTATCTGAATTTCTTATATATCACACAAAAACCAAAGGAGACCAGGGGTGGCATATTTTCAGCCCTCTGTCTGCCTACATATACCATGCCACAATATCTATCCTTCATGACAATGGAATGCTAGTGCCTGTGCACTTAGTGAGCTGGTAACTTCACAAAGTTCCAAACAGGAAGTATGACACAAGTCCTTATTGCTTTTTTCATAACCCTACCCTCATTCCCACCAGCATCTCTGGAGTTTTTCTTCTATCTTACCTCCTCTTGGAGAGGGGAGTTCGGGGAGGAGATGGAAGGTGGCCAGTAGGCAACAAGAACATTTAAACCTCTCTGTAAATTGAGATAAATAGATAAAAGAGAAATAGATGAAAGGTGATTGGTAGGTAGGTAGATGATAGGTAGATAAAAATATATTACTGTGACTTTTTCTCTTCTCAGTTTCACTTTCTTAAACTGTAAAGTAGACTTTTTATTTTTCTTCTTATCAAGTAGAGGGTAGAAAGAAGGAGGAAAGGAACTTTCCTTATGTAATTTTTGGGCTTTCTGTCCTCTATTTTACAGTAACACTAAGTGTCAGACCTTGAAGTTTTGCTTTGTAAAAGTAGCCTTTAAACATTAAAAACAGTTTTTGTTCTTTTGAAGTAGTCTAAATTCTATGGCTGATTTGGAAAAAGGTTCTATGGAAAAAAGGAGATGTGAGAAAGAAAAATACATTGATAGAATTTAAAATGTTATACCTTTACATATGTTGGGCATGGAAGGGTGTCACGAACAATTGCTTCAAGGGTGACAAGATTTTGGCCTAGCTTCCATACTGTAATGAAGTTATTTCTTTTCTTTCTTTTTTTCTTTCTTTCTTTCTTTCTTTCTTTCTTTCTTTCTTTCTTTCTTTCTTTCTTTCTTTCTCTCTCTCTCTCTCTCTCTTTCTTTCTTTCTTCTTTCTTTTTTTTTTGAGAGAAGGTCTTGCTATGTTTCCCACGCTGGTCTTAAAATGCTGGGCTCAAGCTATCCTCCTGCCTTGGCCTCCCAAACTAGGATTACATGTGTGAGCCGCCATGGCCAGCCTACAAAGATAGTCCTAATTTTTTTCTTTTCTTCATCATCTTTATCGGACATTCCTATTATTTTGTTTGTTTGTTTTTTGTTTATTTATTTTTTATTTTTTTGAGACGGAGTTTTGTTCTTGTTACCCAGGCTGGAGTGCAATGGCACGATCTCGGCTCATCGCGACCTCTGCCTCCTGGGCTCAGGCAATTCTCCTGCCTCAGCCTTCTGAGTAGCTGGGATTACAGGCACGCACCACCATGCCCAGCTAATTTTTTGTATTTTTAATAGAGATGGGGTTTCACCACGTTGACCAGGATGGTCTCGATCTCTTGACCTCATGATCCACCCACCTCGGCCTCCCAAAGTGCTGGGATTACAGGCGTGAGCCACTGAGCCCAGCCCCAGATATTCCTAATTTTTAAGGCAAATTGGAAAAGTGCTCCTTTATGAAACTTAAACTATTCTATAAATTTTCTCTTCTCTGTGAGTTGTATTTTTTTAATTTAAAACTTTATTATTTAGGCTGTCAACCAGTGATTTGTTCTCTAGTATGATTTCATCTCTAAGAAAGTTATAGAGATGGAATAATAGAGAGTGCAAATTTATGAAACCATCTTAGGTGCATTTTACCTGTTTCTTGGATTCTGTGAAGCTGGTGCAGAACTCACAGGTTAAGAAGACATTGTGCCATAACCACATTGTTTTGGTTGGTGAAAATAATGGTTTAAGACTCCAGATTGTAATGATTATCTTGTCTTCATCATCCTTCTGATCTTCATAACAGAGTGCTTCCCTATCCTGTCATCCTGGCTGCCCACCCAACCCCAGGACCAGCAGCTGTTTCTTACTTCTTACCATATAATGTATCTCTTGCTTATGCCCAACTGCTACTGACAGGTCCCTGTCTTTTTTCTTATTCCAAGCTGCTCCTGGTCTGAATTTCTATCTTGGTTCCCTTTTGTCAGTATCCTAGTCTATAGAGAAATAGTTCTAAAGTCTTACTTCTTGCTTCCAGATGTCCCAGTGCATGCTTCCTCTCAATCCTTCCTGGTGTTTAAGCTCTGATGGTCCCTTGAGTGTTCCATTCCAGTTCTTCCAGCTGAACCCCAGTCAGCCTGAAGGTGTTCCTCTGGCCTTTTATGGTTCTATGATTGCCAGTTTTTATTATGAATTCCAGCAGGGCTGGTATACCTATTTCCCATCTCCTTCTAGTTTGAAGGCTAATAAGGAGAGATGCTATTTGTGGAGTCCATATGTATGCACTCTCTGGATAAATGAATTGTTCCCCTGGGACCCTGCCAAGGCCTGTTATGCTGATAACATGACAGCCTGTCATCACATTGGATTGATTTTCTCCTCCCACCATCACCAAATAGCTTCATCTCCATATTAGGTGTAGGTTTTAAAGCCTACATGTGCCATCTGGGATACCCTCTTCCCTTTTCTCTCTTTGTAAATATTATCTGTCCTGAAATGTGTGATGCTTTTGTCCTCTGTATCTATTTCTGCATATACTGAGTCCCCCTGCCTGCCTGGTTTTTACAATTGTATTCTTTTAAGATCTCTAGCCACTAACATAGATAGCTTACAGTGGACTTCACAGATCATGTATTATACAGTCTCTCTGATGCTGTTGCTTGTTCTGGTGACTGACTCCAGGAGAAAAGCTGGATGTGGTGGATTATCCTTCTGTTGTCTTCTTACTGGAATACAGTGGACTGTTACTGACCTTTTCTACACTTGTCTCCTATTTTCCCGAGTACAGACCTTTGAGAAATAAGAAGAGGGAGTGTCAGCCTTTATTCTGAAACTTCGAACTACTTCTAGATCCTTAAAAATGTTTTTGATTCAGGGGAAGCCAGGAATCAAGGTTATGAAGTAATAATAACATGCCAGAACAAATCAAGCAGACTTGAATTGAGAAGAGATGGGAAGAGGGAAAGACTGACCACTCTATCACTCCTCTACCGTCCCAAAACCTCAGTCTCCATTATTTGTGGGCTCATCGTGGTTGAAAACAATTAGGGTTTGGGAATTATCCGTTTAAGAGTATGTATGTATATACCTGCTCACAGATCCACCACACCTGTTTAGATAGGATTCCTGGAACAGGTGTATGAGAGGCCAGGTGAAAAGTCAAAAAAAGGCAAAACTCTAGCATTATGAAAATAAGTTCAGTGTCAAAAGGTGTGACTTACTGGTCAATTTCAAACTGGGAGAAAGGCTATGAAACATTTGTATTGACTTAGCTGTAGCATAGGAGAGCGTGGTCTGATATCTACTATTAATATTGTTAATGACATTACTAATTATTAATGAAGAACTATTACAATTATAGGAAATATATGAATGTTTTTCGTGATGTACACACGGTTTGAGCATTACTCTTCATCCCAAAGAAAGACAAGAATCATCACAATGATGAACGTTTATTCAGTTATATCTTTTTGCTAAATGTTTGTCTTCTGAGTTAAATATTAGGCTTTTACAATAAGTTTTTTCTCAGTAATGACCATAAATAGATGATCAGATATATTTCACAGTAGAGACATAAACTAAGTCTGAGAAGGTGTATCAGAATAAAATTTTACCTGGTTTGAAAGCTTTCAATGGTAAGATGGATGATGACTGGACAAATTACTCCCAGTTTACTTCATCGTAGTTCCTAATCGCTTGATAAGGAATCCTGCTACTCTCCAACGTATGGATCCAACATAATTTAAATTATCTTATCTTGACAGAATGTCTGTTTTTGGTTGATTTACATTGATCATATTTATACACATTTTGATACACTTTTCTAGAGAAAAGACTGAGTTTATTTTTAAAGGTTAATTGTGAAATGCAAGATAATTGCCATTCAGTGATTGTGGTTAGCATGGACAATGAATCTAGTTTGGGTTAAAAAGGTAACTGAGCCTTCCTTTGGCTCAGAAGTAGTTATTAAAATGTATCAGGCAGCCGGGCGCGGTGGCTCAAGCCTGTGATCCCAGCACTTTGGGAGGCTGAGGCGGGTGGATCACTAGGTCGAGAGATTGAGACCATCCTGGTCAACAAGGTGAAACCCCGTCTCTACTAAAAATACAAAAAATTAGCTGGGCACGGTGGCACGTGCCTGTAATCCCAGCTACTCAGGAGGCTGAGGCAGGAGAATTGCCTGAACCCAGAAGGCGGAGGTTGCGGTGAGCTGAGATCACGCCATTGCACTCCAGCCTGGGTAACAAGAGTGAAACTCCGTCTAAAAAAAAAAAAAAAAAGTATCAGGCACTTGCTATGCTGACAGAGTTCTAAGTCTCTTCACATGTAACTTTATCTCCACAGAAACTCTATGAAACAGGTAGGAATATCTTCATTTCATAAAACAGAAAACTGAAAACTAAAGAAGTTAGGCTATTTGAAAAAGTTCCAGTAGGTAATAAATAGTAGAAAATAACATTCAAACCCATGTATTATTATTCCAACCATAGTAATTTTCTCATTTCACTAGAAATTTCTTTTTCATTATAAGAATAATACACTGGAAGCTAATTTTGTTCCCTTTGGAAATTTATGGTGTATATGTTTATTCTTTAAGGGAAGTAAGCTTAATTCTAATTGTATTGAATCTGTGTAAACTTAGGTTCCAGTGATCTTAAGTCTACTTGCAAAAAATATCTGTAATGCATAAGCAAATATAAGGTAGAACATTTCAGCATTAGTGGTGGTTTTCATATTTCTTTCTCTTTACTAAGGAGAGACAGTAGATATCAGAGACTTGGACAACGTACTAGGAAACATGGGGATTGAACTCACCAAAGAAGAACTTAGAAAGCTGACAAGAAACCTTCCAGTTGATGGTGACTCATTTTAGATATTAAAAAATCCTTCAGAAGAGGGTCAAGGGTTTATAGATGAGTATTTCTAAAACCAGTTTAATTTTGTGATAATAAAAAACCTTGTAAAATCTCAGAAAGATTCAGGTCCAGAGCAAGAACAAAGCTTTATTTTCTAAATCTACATAGAATACAAAGCATTTGACTAGACTGATTCCAAGGTTGTTTTTCACATCTGTGAATGTTCAGGAAGCCAAAGAAAAATGTAGAAAAAGAAAGGAATGAAAGAAGGTTAATGTATATTCTTTCCACATTTCCCATTCATTTTCCTATTCGGATTCAGCTCCCTAACACTACTAAAACTTCTCTTAGGACACTATAACTTGCCATTATTTGTCAGTTGCATTGGACATTATTCATTGTTTTTTGTTGGAGCTCTCTGCTGTCTTTGATATTGATGATACATCTGATCTTGAAATTTTTTTCCCTTAGCTTCTGTGTTGTTACCACAGTCTGGATTTTTCTCATTCTTATTTTCATTTTACATACTCTCTCTGGAAAATCTCACTCATATCTGTGGTTTTACATATCACCTACATGCTGATGACTTTCAAATCTGTATTTTTACATAGACCACTCTCCTGCACTGCAGACTGCTATATCCAAATGCCTTGAGACATTTCTACTCAGATATTCCATAGGAGACATTCTTTTTAAAAATTTTTATTGGATTTTAGGTTTTGGGGTACATGAGCAGAGCATGTAAGACAGTTGCGTAGGAACACACATGGCAGTGTGCTTTTCTTTCCTTCTGCCCTTCACCCACATTTGGCATTTCTCCCCAGGCTATTCCTCCCCACCTCCCCCTCCCACTAGCCCTCCCCTTTTCCCCCCAATAGACCCCAGTGTTTAGTACTCCCCTTTCTGTGTCCATGTGTTCTCATTTTTCATCACCCACCTATGAGTGAGAATATGCGGTGTTTCATTTTCTGTTCTTGTGTCAGTTTGCTGAGGATGACGTTCTCCAGATTCATCCATGTCCCTACAAACGACAAAAACTAATCATTTCTGATTGCTGCATAATATTCCATGGTGTATATGTGTCACATTTTTCCAATCCAGTCTATTATCAATGGGCATTTTGGTTGATTCCAGGTCTTTGCTATTGTAAACAGTGCTGCAATGAACATTCGTGTACATGTGTCCTTATAGTAGAACGATTTATAGTCTTTTGGATATATACCCAGTAATGGGATTGCTGGGTCAAATGGAATTTCTATTTCTAAGGCCTTGAGGAATCGCCACACTGTCTTCCACAATGGTTGAACTAATTTACACTCCCACCAACAGTGTAAAAGTGTTCCTTTTTCTCCACATCCTCTCCAGCATCTGTTGTCTCCAGATTGTTTAATGATCGCCATTCTAACTGGCGTGAGATGGTATCTCAATGTGGTTTTGATTTGCATCTCTCTGATGACCAGTGACGATGAGCATTTTTTCATATGATTGTTGGCCTCATATATGTCTTCTTTCGTAAAGTGTCTGTTCATATCCTTTGCCCACTTTTGAATGGGCTTGTTTGTTTTTTTCCTGTAAATCCGTTTGAGTTCTTTGTAAATTCTGGATATCAGCCCTTTGTCAGATGGGTAAACTGCAAACATTTTTTCCCATTCTGTTGGTTGCCGATCCACTCTAGTGACTGTTTCTTTTGCCGTGCAGAAGCTGTGGAGTTTCATTAGGTCCCATTTGTCTATTTTGGCTTTTGTTGCCAATGCTTTTGGTGTTTTGTTCATAAAGTCCTTGCCTACTCCTCCTATGTCCTGGATAGTTTTGCCTAGATTTCCTTCTAGGGTTTTTATGGTGCCAGGTCTTATGTTTAAGTCTTTAATCCATCTGGGGTTAATTTTAGTGTAAGGTGTCAGGAAGGGGTCCAGTTTCTGCTTTCTGCACATGGCTAGCCAGTTTTCCCAACACCATTTGTTAAACAGGGAATCCTTTCCCCATTGCTTGTTTTTGTCAGGTTTATCAAAGATTGTATAGTTGTAGATATGTTGTGTTGCCTCCGGTGCCTCTGTTCTGTTCCATTGGTCTGTATCTCTGTTTTGGTACCAGTATCATGCTGTTTTGATTACTGTAGCCTTGTAGTATAGTTTGAAATCCAGTAGTGTGATGCCCCCCGCTGTGTTCTTTTTGCTTAGAATTGACTTGGCTATGCGGGCTCTCTTTTGGTTCCATATGAAGTTCATGGTGGTTTTTTCCAGTTCTGTGAAGAAAGTCAATGGTAGCTTGATGGGGATAGCGTTGATTCTGTAAATTACTTTGGGCAGTATAGCCATTTTCACGATATTAATTCTTCCTAACCATGAACATGGAATGTTTCTCCATCTGTTTGTGTCCTCTCTGATTTCGTTGAGCAGTGGTTTGTAGTTCTTCTTAATGACAATAAGTGGTATGCTGGTAAGATGGCTCTCTGTAAAATATTACCACTTGATTTGTAGCATTTTTCAACTTCTATGATGTAAATTGTCTCACCATGGCTGATTTCCAGTGGTAAACAATTTAAAAATCAAGTTCACAAAACTGAATATTTAATAATCAGTTGTCATGACTGAATTCAGGTTGGTGGTACACCATTAAAAATGGTTCATCACTAAGTTTATTTTTGTTAACTTGATTTTCTTTTTTGTTAGATTTACTCCTAGGTAATTTTCACTTTGTATGTAATTGTGAATGGTATATATCTATATCTATGTATATCTCATTATTGCTGAATTATGGTTTTCTAGGACTTTGTTCCTTTTTTAAATATTCAAAGCAATTACATAATGTTTATAGTATCCTCCTATTATCTTTTAAGTATCTGTAGGATCTGTGGTGGTCTTATTTGTCATTGGTTATGTTTTCTCCCTTTTTTTCATTTGTCAATCTTAGTACAGGTATCTGTCAACTTTGTTAGTCTTTCCAAAACACAATTGTTTTTCTGTGTTCATTCTCTCTATGTAAGGTTTGTTTTTTGTTTCCGTAATTCCTGCTTTTGTCTTTATTATTATTTTCTTCTACTTTTGAGAGGTTTAATTTGCTATTTTTTTCTAACATTTTGAGATAGAATTTTAGATTATTGGTCTTTTTATCTTTTTTTTTAGAGTATGCATTTAAGACTAAATTCCCTTGTCTGCACATCTTTACCTTATTCCACAAGTTTTAATATGTAATATTATCATTGTCATTAAATTGAAGATATATTCTAACTTTGTGCGGTTTGTGTTTTGACACATGAATTATTTAGAAATGCACTTACTGATTTTCAAATATATGGGAGTTTTCTTAGTAGTTCTTTACTATTGATTTCTAGTTTAATTCCCTACCCTAGATAGCACATTTATTTGTACCACTTGTCTTTGCCATTATGCTAATTTAAAATGACATAAGTTTTATATAACTGTGTACAATATTATTTTATAACCATCACTTGGGAACACCTCTTTTACTAAGGTTGAAGGAATACTATTCATTCTCTGTATCTGCAATTGACTGCTTGTTGTTTAACAAATACCATTATTTGCCTTAATTCTGCTTTCATAATATGGAATTAACAATATTTTTTAAAATTTTATTTTTCTCTATGTTTTTTGTTTTGAAGGAGGAGAAGTTGACTTAAATGACCTGGAAAATGTCCTGCAAAATATGGGGAGAGAGCTCACATCTAGAGAACAGTTGGAACTAGAGAAATTACTTCCAATTGATGGTAGGCATTTCAAAATAGTAGTATTCTTCAAGGGAGTTAATGTAGTCATCAAGGGAGTCATTCCACATTATACATATCAGTAGAGTCTTGAAGTAGTTAGGAATATGTCCTCAGAATTTACATTATTTAGTAACCTATGTTTGTTGTACATTGTTTATAAATTAGGGATTATAAAATATTCATAATTTCTTAGGTAACTATTTTTAATATTTAGGAATACAAAAATTGTCTAATAAAATATACATAACTATAAATCTTCCCATCAGGGCTAAGGAATTAATATTGATGGCTATCTTTCATCCTATTGAGATGTGTTGGGTTAAGATCTGTAAGAAACAGGAGGAGGAGATAAGAGAGGAAGAGGAGGAGGAGGAGAAATATATAGATGTATGGGAGAGTGGAGAAAAAAAGAATAAAGTCAGAAAAGGTATACTTTCTTTGCTTTACCCTAGTTAGTATTAATAATTTTCTCAGATGCTAAAGTACTGACAGATTTACCATAACAAACCACATTGCCATGTATGTACCTATGCAACAGTCTTGCATGTTCTTCACATGTACCCTAAAAACTAAAACACAATAAAATATATATTTAAAAAAAAAGAAATGAAACAATCCTACACATAACTAATAAAAATGCTTAGGAATAAAAAAAAATTTTGTCTATATTTTAATTTTATTATTTTAGAAGATATTAAGTAAATTTTAAGGGCAAATTATTTTGTGGTATGTATATCTGAACTTAAGAGATTTCTGTATTGCTTTTGTATACATATTTTCCATATTACATAAATTATGTATTTTCTTACAGCTAATGGAAAAATATATAAGAATAGGTTGCTGAACTGTGTGAAAGATATAAAAGGTAAGTGATATGCAAATTGAGAAAGCAGATTAATTGAGGTACTTGTGTTATGCTTTTGTTTTTTCCTCACCACTAAATTTTGCTATCAATCTCATATATATTTCCATAATTAATTTTAATATATATACATGTTGACATTGGTTTATAATTTTCTGCATTTTATTTTTAAAATTTATTCTAGCTATCTTAGATTTTTCTCAGTTTTGGCTGTGGAAATTATAAAATTTAGTCTTAGGTATCAAAATTTTAGAGAAGCTAGTATATCCTGAGATACAGAGCAAACAGAACCTTATTTGTATGGATACTTATATTAAAAACTATTTGAAAAATTGCTATATTTCTGCCATAAATAACCTGAGTGGTTTATCAGCTTTCAACATGCTGCTTATGTGGGCTTATTTTGGATACTGGCTATAAATGAATACATTAATTTTAGTTCATTAATGGCCCTCTTTAAGCACTCAAGTGTCCCTGGGCTCTTCTTTATAATAAAATTGATAATTATGATGCATAAAAATTAATATTTATTACATTGTGACTTTTGTTTCAATTTCTTCATGTCTTCCTCTTTTATAGAGTTGCCAGTCAATGTTCATGACATTGACAGTATACTTGGAAACATGGCACTCAAACTCACAGCTGAGGAACTTAATGATCTGACCCCAAATCTACCAGTGAATGGTAAGAAACTTAATAGCTTTCCACCCTCAAGGGAATTTTGGATTCTTAATAGCTTTGCACCCTAAAGAGAATTTTGGCTAATATTTTTGTTAGTACTTATTTGGCATAGATGAAAATGATTTTTTTCTCTTAACGTATTAAAGTTAGTACTTTTAATTTTTTCATTCATTCACTCATTCATTTAACAATTTTTTGTTAAGCACTACATATCAGGTGCTATGCTAAGTGCCAGAGATACAGTGGTAAGCAAAAGTAGACATTGTCCTTGGCTTTGGGGGACTTAATGTAAACAATCCTTAGTGTACCAATAGTAGCTGAGAAAGTTGCTAGGGCCTTAGTCAAATTAACAGTTTTCATAAGAACTAGAGCTACCAGAGTTTCAGCCAATATGTACAACTTTCCCTCCTTATTTATAGACATGGATTCTCAAATTGTTGAATCAGATTTCATGAATCAAGAACAGAATTGTCTGTCTTAAAGAAAAAATTGAATTAAAATTGAAGTGTGGTTAATCACAAAAAAAAAAAAAATCTTTACTTTAAAGGAACTAAAATAGAATATATTAAGCTAGACATGGGCCAATAATACAAAACAGTATTCCCTAGGAACATCTTACTGAACACTGTCTCTTGCATATAAAAATGTTTGTTCATATGTCTTGCATGCCATTTAGTTATAACTTTGCCATGGGTTGCATACTGTTTCACCATTGCCCTATGGAAAGCTCATTCCGCAAAAGATATCTTTATCAAATCATTGCTTCATTTTCAGTACTATTGATGTACCAATTAAAGACATGTAGTTAGATGTTAAATATATGGGAGAGTGACATCAGCAAGATGGCAGAATAGAGGTCCCTGCTCTAGTTCACCTCACAGAAACACCAGTTATCAACTATTGACAGACAAGAATGCCTTTGTGAAAATCTTAGAACCTGAGAACAAGGCTAAAATGCATCCCCTTGGCATACAAAAATGGAGGAAAACTATATTAGAAAGGTAAGAGGAGAGGTTTCATTTTGTTGTAGCATAGCACTACACCAAAAGGGATCCCCTGAGCTGATGGTTTCTTGAGTGAGAAAAGAGATCCCAAGGTGAACATTAAGCTTCCCCAGTGTTCTGGAAAATTTTAGGTGGGCCAACTTCTGTCTCGCCTCATGGGGAACAATGGGGGAATTGGCAGGGCTAGACAACCTGGGGTCAGGTAGGAACAGAAAAAGGTATACATGGTTCACAGTGTGCTGACATTGGTGATGGCACTGCATTCTGCTGGCAGCCATGTCCAACCAGAAAGCCCAGCCAGTGGCTTCCTGAAGCCTAATGGTGAGAAAATAGGTTGAATTTAAAGAGGTCTACATCAAGACACATTGTAATTAAATTGTCAAAAGCCAAAGAAAAAGAATTTTGAAGGCATCAAAAGAAAAGTAAATTATCACATACAAGGGAGCCTCTATAAGACTAACAATGGTGCTTTTGGGCACTTAATGTCAATAATCCTTAGTATACCAATAGTAGCTGAGAAAGTTGTCTTTTAGGAGCTTAATATTTCTCAGCAGAAATATTGTAGACAAGAAAATAGTGGAATCATATATTCAAAATATTAAGAGAAAAAAATATGTTAACCAAGAATACTATATCTGGCAAAACTGCTGAAGGAGACAGAAATACCTTCCTGTAAAAACAAAAGCTGAGGGAGCTTATTATTATTAGTTTATTGCCCTACAATAAATGCTTAAGGGAGTTCTTTAAGCTAAAATGTAAGGATGCTAATTAACAACATAAAAGCATATGAATTATTAAAACTTACTAATAAAAGTAAATATATATAGTCAAATCTGGAATTTTGTAATATTCTAATGGTGGTAGGTAAATCGCTTTCAACACTAGTATAAAAGTTAAAAGAAAGCATATTAAAAATTACTATAACTATAATAATTTATTAAAGGGCACACAATACAAAAATATATAAACCATAATATCAATCATCTAAAATGTGATGGGGTCTTTTTATTTACTGTTGTCCAGGCTGGAGTGCAGTGGTGTGATCTCAATTCACTGCAACTGAGAGCCCTCCCTGGCTCAAAGCAATCCTCTCACCTCAGCCTCCAAAGTAGGTGGGACTACAGGTGCACACCACCACACTTGGCTAATTTTTTAAATTTTTTGTAGAGATAGGGTTTCAGCATGTTTCCCAGGCTGGTCTTGAATTCCTGGGCTCCAGCACTCTGCCCACCTTAGCTTCTCGAAGTGTTGGGATTACAGGTGTTACCCACCATACTCAGCCCTTTGTATGTGATTAAAGTTAAGTTGTCATCAACTTAAAATAGGATGTTATGTTTTATTTAAGCCTCATGGTAATCACAAAGGAAAAAACCCATAGCAGATATGCAGAATATTAAAAGTAAGGAATCAAAGCACACCAGCACAAAAAGTCATCAAATCACAAAAGGAGATAACAAGAGTTGGGTTAAATGGACTAACCTGGGATATGGCAAAAATCTTTAATTTATATTATATTTTTAAAAATCAAGGATGTGTTTCATAAACTTGGGTAACTACTCAAAGAATAGTAAAAAAATATATGGTCACTCCTTGATATTTGTGGGGGATTGGTCCCTGGACCTCGCACAGATAGAAAAATTCATGGATGCTCAGTTCCCTTATATAAAATGACATAGTAGTTGCACGAACCTATTCACATCCTCCCATATATTTTTAATCATCTCTAAATTACTTATGACACCTAATGCAATGTAAATGCTATGTGTGCAGTACAGATAACACCTATTTAAAAAATATTTTTGTCCTGTGGTTGGTTGAATCTGTAAATGTGGAACCCAGAGATGTGGAGAGCTAACTGTGTAAACTAACAAGCTAATAAAGGGAATAATGGAAAAATAAAAATAATTCAAGAGAAGGGAAGAGTAAATTAAAAAAGAGAGAATGAAAGTATAACAAGTTGGCAAATAAAGAAATAGTAAATTCCTGGAAAATTGTCCTTAGGCTCACTTCATAATTTTTTCTTCTCTCAAGGATCAGAGTCTTGTACTTTCTGTTGTCTAATCCTTGAAAACAGTAGCCTTATGTATATTGTCCAGTTTAATAATTGTTTATGGCAGGAGAGTTAGTTATTTCATAATGATCCACAGGGAAGATCCTGGTAACAGTCTTTTTTAGTTTTAATTTTGCTGAAACATACATCAGTGCTCTATATATTTAAATTGTCTATTATGTTGTTCAAATATTCTTGATAAATTGTGATTGCTTATTCTAGCAATTTCTGAAGGATATATGTTGTTATCTCTATGGTGAGGATTTATTTCTCTATTAGGTTTTGTCATTCTGTGCTTTATATATTTTGAAATTACATTACTAGAAACATAAAAATTTAGAACTGGATTATCTTCCTCATGAATTAACTCCTTTACCATGCTGCAATGTGCTGCTTTATCTTGCCATAATCTCTACTTAGCTTGGTATTAATTTCATTATACCAGTTTTATTTTCATTCGTGTTTGTATTATGTATCCATCCTTTTACTTGCAACTTTTCTCTATATTTATATTTAAGATGTGTCTCATATAAGCAGCATATATTATTTTAAATATAGACTCACAGTCTTTTCAATTTGAATATTTGTCCCGTTTACATTTAATATAATATTTTATTTTAGTTAAATCAACATTTACTCTTCCTTTATTTGCCAACTTGTTATGCTTTCATTCTCTCTTTTTTAATTTAATTCTTCCCTTCTCTTGAATTAATTTTTTTTCCATTATAGTTTTGTCTTAAAATCTATTTTGTCTGGTGTAAGTATAGGTACTCCTGCTCATTTTGGTTTCTTACTGGCATGAAATATGAGAAAGTCAATAAGAGATGGAAATCATAAAAAAGAACCAAACAGAAATTCTGCAGCTTAAGAATTCAGTAGACGAAATTTAAAAATATAGTACAGAGGCTCAACAGCAGACTTAATCAAGTAATAGAATATCTGATTTGAAGATAAGTCATTTGAAATTACCCACTCAGAGAAAAAAAGAAATAAGAATGAAAAAGAGTGAGGAAAGCCTATAATACTTATGGGACACCATTAAATGAACAAATACTCAAATTATGAGAGTTTCAAAAGGAGACAAGATGGGAAAAGACACAGAAAACCTATTAAATGAAATAGCTGAAAATATATCAAGCCCTGTGAGAGATACATATATCCATATCAAGAAAGCTCAAAGATTAACAACTAGATTCCACCCAGAAAGTCCTCCTTGAGACATATAATAGTACTTACTGAAATATATATTAAGTACAGAAAGAACTTAAAAGGAATCTTAAACTTCAGTTAATACTTTTATCATTAATAATAATATTAAAGTGTAATATTGTGACTATTACAGGTAGTTACAGAGTAAAACAAATATTAAATAGTTGATAAATAAAAGGAACCCAGACATTTCAGGCTTTTTTCAAGATATTTCAGTGTTGGAAAGAAGAGATACAAATATAAAGTCAAAAAAGTTATGAAAAACCTGTAATTGTGAAATTTGAACCACAACTATCACTACAAAATCATGGTTGGTTGGTTGTATGCTTGCCTATTTGTTTTAAATAGGAATTTCCTTTACATTCCTAAAAAGGGTTTTAAAGGATTTGAAAACCAATGACAGTTTAATTTCGGTGAGAACATCTAGTCCTCAGATTGTGGTTTCTTAATAATTTCCACACTAAAAAGAGCCCCAGAGCTCCTTGGAGAAAGGCTGCTTCCGGGTCTGAGGTAGGGAAAGAACAAAGTGAGTGTGGGATATATTCAGAAAGCAAAGAAGCATTCAAAGATTAAAGTGTGCATGTCAAAAAAAAAAACAAACAGGAGTCAGCATGGATAGACTACCACTGGTCACGTTTACCACAATCTAAGCATCAAAAGAAAGATTGGAAGGACTGGGAGGCCAAGGCAGGCAGATCACCTGAGGTCAAGTGTTCAAGACCAGCCTGGCCAACATGGTGAAACCTTATCTCTGCTAAAAATACAAATAAATTAGCCAGGCATGGTGGCATGCACCTGTAGTCCCAGGTACTTGGGAGGCAGAGGCAGGAGAATTGTTTGAACCCAGGAGGCAGAGATTGCAATGAGCTGAAATCGCACCACTGCACTCCAACCTGGGTGACAGAGCGAGATGCCATCTCAAAAGAAAAAAAAAGGAGGGAAGGAGGGAGAAAGAAATGCCTATAATTTACTATGTATCATTGGGAAAAAATTCCATTACTCCATAATGATTCTAGTTTATTTGAAATATAAGGAATAAAAAGCAAGTAAAATAATACCACAAAGAAAAAAAATTAGATAAATTCAGAATGTGAGGCATTCTACAAGAAAACTGGCGTAGTCTTTTTAAAAAGTCAGTGTTCAATGTTAAAAAGAAAATGTGGGGAGCCTTTTTCCTTTTTTTTCTTTTCCACAGAATCTCCCCTATTGTCCAGGCTGGAATGCAGTGGTATGATCTTGGCTCACTGCAACCTCCTACTCCCAGTTCAAGTAATTCTTCTACCTCAGTCTCCTAAGTAGCTGGGATTACAGGTGTGCACCATCACCACTGGCTAATTTTCATATTTTTAGTAGAGATGGGATTTCACCATATTGACCAGGCTGGTCTTGAACTCATGATCTTAAGTGATCTGCCCACATCAGCCTACGAAACTGCTGGAATTACAGGAGTGAGCCATCATGCCCAGCCAACTTTTAGATTTAAAGAGACAAAGAGAATAACAAAATGCAATGTGAACCTTTGACAGAAACAGTTATAACAGATGTTTGGGGGACAATTAATAAAAATATTTTAAAATATGAACTAGATGTGAGATTATACAAAGAGATTATTGTTAATTCTCTTAGGTGTGACTATGCTATATATTTATCAACAATGTCACATAGGAGAATATCCTATTTTTAGAAGATTAATTGCATGCTGCAGTGTTTAGGGATACTAAGTTATGATATCCACAACTTGCAGTCAAATGATTGAGGAAAGAAAAACGTGTTTATATATGTACTCATGAAGAAAAACATATTTATACATATTATATTATATATATATAAAGTATAATACTCATACTTATGGAAAGACACTATGAGAGAGAAAAAGTAAACTATGGTGAGATGTTAATATTATTTCATGTAAGTGGTGTTGGCTGATTGTACTATTCTTTCAATTCTTCTGAATGTTTGGAACTTTTTATTATAAAATGTTGGGGAAAAAACATAGTGCTGAGTAGTATGAAGTACCTTAAATGTGAATGAGATGTAATAAGAAGACAGATGAATATAAGGTACTCATTTGGCCTTTATATCATTCACTAATAATTACATTGTGAATCCTGCAACCTCTCCAACACATAGATTCCATGTGATTTTTTTTAAAAACAGATTTATCTTTATTTAACCAGATAATCAACCATATTGTTTAGAAATGTATCCCATACTCTCTTAGAGTTTATAAACTTAGTGGGGAAGATGTAATTACATGCCAAAAAAGTTAATGAAAATATGAGCTATTTATATGAGGAATTCAGGTAATTGTTATCTGATATCTCTCTGAGATTAAATGACAAGACGTCAATGAAATGTTTGGTATGATGTCTGGTACCAAAAAAAAAAAAAACAGCTCTGTAAATATTAGCTATCATCATCATCATTAGTAGTAGTAGTATTGAGAGATTATCTTTTAATTCTATGTATTGGTCAAAAATATATTATTGCCCCAAGTTTGCATCCACTGATCAGTTCACTGGTTTAAAGAAAAGATCCTAATTTTAATTCCATTGTCAAATTCATTTATGTATTTGATTCAATGAATTTTTTCTCTTTATGTTGAAAAGTATAATCATGATTCATAGGAACAGATGTTTAAAGCTAGATTTCATGAACACTTATGAGGTCCATGGATGGGCTTTAGCACATCCTCCTAAATCCTAATGCCCAGCTTATCAAAATGCATATGTGTGGAGATATAAGATCCACAGCTTTTCTCAGATTCTCAGTGAATAGGTGTCTCAAAAAAAAACTTAGAAATTTTTTTTTTAGTCACTACATGTTCCTCACAGGCTATTTCTGATTAGGGAATGTTGACATAGAAAACCTGGACACCATTCTAGACGACATGGGAATCAAGCTCACAGATAAAGAACTTGAAGATCTGAAACAAAGCCTACCAGCTGGTGGTGAGCACGCTAGATATCACTGGTTTTCTGAGTTTTGTGTTTTACGGACCTTTAGCATTGGAAAGAAAGGGAAAATAATTTTTTTTTAACTGAGTCTTGCTCTGTCTCCAGGGCTAGAGTGCAGTGGTGTGATCTTGGCTAACTGTAACCTCTGCCTCCTAGGTCCAAGTGATTCTCCTGTGTCAGTCTCAGGAAGCTGGGATTACCGCAACTGCTGCCACACCTGGCTAATTTTTGTATTTTTAGTAGAGATGGGGTTTCACCATGTTGGTCAGGATTGTTTCGAACTCCTGACCTCAGGTGATTCACCCACCTACGCCTCCAAAATGCTGGGATTACAGGTGTGAGCCATCACACCCAGGTGGAAAAGAGAACTTTTTATAGTGAAAGTTCAAATAAGACAGAGTAACAAAGTTGGGAATGTAGTATTTTGAGTACTAGTGGCATGATCAATACAAGAGCTTTCCAAATTTTGAGGACAAGAAAGCTGACCCCTAGGAAAAAGCCACTTTAGAATTCCATCTTTCCATTATCAAATATAAGATTTGCTATTTTATGGGTTAGAAAGTCAAAGTTACCTTTTCTAAATAAGTTTATTTTCAATATTTATAATTGTTTCCTCATGTTCATTACATATTCTGAGTAAATATTTATCAAATGACTAAAGTGCTTATCAAAATGCCCAGTATACTTAATAAGTGCTCCTACTGGGTGTTAAAACCATAAGAGGGAGAAGACATTCTTATGATATAACATTTTATGAGCTTCAAATGATACATTTGTGTTATAGCTGTTAATAAAGTGGCTCTGAAAGCATTGAAGTGAAAGCCTTTACTGGTAAGCATTTGTTGTAAGTGATTTACAACTAATAATTGTTTGCACTAAAATTTTTAATCATATCTTTCTAATATATTTGGGACATAAATTCACATCTTTTTAATATTTTGATAAAATATCTGCATTTACAGACTAACAGATTAACAGTGTCTGTATTTTATCAGTAAAACAAAAAGAACTATTTCTTGATAACATTTTACATTCTTTAGCACTTTCTTCCAATAAAATGATTTCACCAGTATTTATAGGCCAAAAAAACAAGATGGACTCGGTAATAGCAGAGTGAAGCATTAAAAGGATCAAAGTAATAAATTCACTGCAAGCGTCTAACCACATAGTTTTAACAAAAATAAAATGTCATACTTTCTTGTATACCTTATTATGCTAACCATCCTAATCTTAATAATTATATGACCAAATTTTCTTCTGTGCTATCTGGTATTATTCCCAGTATTAAGAATATATCCCATTTCCTCATATTAAGGGACAAATTCTATTTTCAGTTTCCCATTTCTCTATTTTTATCAAGAAATCTCATATTCTTATTCCTCTTCATCCTTGTATTACAGAAAAGGCTATACCAGCACAAGTGTACTTTTACATAACTTGAAATAATTAGATTGTTCCTTAATACTTTACTTAAGAATATTTCATTTTTCTAAAGGAGAAAAGATAGATGCTGGTGATCTGCTGAGTATTCTAAAACACATGGGGATCAAGCTTACAGGTAAGGAGCACAAGCAACTGCTAAAAACATTGCCCATTGATGGTAAGCCATGTAAATGCCACAAGCCTTCCAGGAAACTTAATTTAATGGGCCTGTGTAAGCAGCTCTCAATCTTTTAATAGGATAATTTCGCCTAAAAAATGCCATAGGTTAATAGAAAGGCACTTTTGACTTGAAAAGAAATTGCCATTACCTCTTTGAATACAATTTGAGTCATCTCTATGTTGCCAAATAGTTGTCTAGGTGACAAATATTACTCCCTCAGATTAGTATTAAGTTTACAATGTGAGCAATGAAAAAGAGAGGAATAGAACAACAGTAGAATAGAAAGAAGAAGGAAGTATTTGATGCTTGTTTTTTTAGTGTTCCAACATGGAAGAGATAGACTAATAAATGTCTTAATACCAAAGAATGAATAGGTTTGTCACTGTGTATTTCCATTCTTAAATGTGAACATTGTGTGACTATAAAATAGATTAATTTTAAAAGCAAATCACTAAAATGTATCTTTCTGCAGTTCTCTAATTTGTAATGTTTTGGTGAATCTCCATTATTAATTTCCCAGAGATCTGAATTGCACCTTTTCTTACAGCTAATGAAAAGGTGTTCCTAAATAAGTTGCGGAAAGATGTGAAGTATAATAAACATGAGTAAGCTCAATGAGAACATATATGAAAATCTTCAAGTGTTAAATTTATATTAATAGAATATTTTATTTTGCTTATTGTGACACATCTGTATTTTTCCTGGTAATAGCCTATACTTTATCATAGAAGGAAATTCTCTACTGCTTTGTAATTTTCAAACTTTCTCTGAAAAACCATTCCTGTGAACATAAATAAAAGGAAGACATATAGAAAGACAGGAAGAAGGAAGCACAGGAAGATAGGAAGGAAGGGAAGAAGGGAGTGAGGGAAATGTTTGGCAATATATTCTAAAATTTGACCAGAAATGGTGAAAATCTGAGAGTGAGAGTGTAGGAAACATACAATCTCTTTTTTGTAGAAATTATAGAGTAGTGCTCTCCCGTTATGGTTGCTTAACCCCTGCACCACATAACCTTTCCATGGGTAGGTATGTTTAAGGTGTGAGGAAACAAGAAACAAGTTCTAATTTTAACTCTGCTTTTAACCTCTGTGGAGTAGAACAAATCAACAAATCTACTATACTTTTGTTCTTTTCATGAAAACATTAGCAATTGTTATAAAGGTTATAAAGTTATTCTTTTTTATCTTTTAAATTACTATACAGACAGTCATTTACTATGACAGCAAATATAAATACACTAGACAGCAGTTGTATACATATACATATATAAATATACATACACTTGACAGTAAATATTTATATATGTATATCTGTACATATATATGGGTTAATATTCAGTTGTATAAGAAACTTGACAGCAAATATATATATATACAGATAGTATACATATATACAGATAGTATACATATATATGTATATATAGATAGTATAGCCATTTACTATAACTATCTGTATAGTCATTTACAGATAATATATATAATAATATATAATCATTTAAAAGTAACAGCTGTTATATCTGTATAGTCATTTAAAACTAACACCTATTAGTTGAACATAATCATATAAATGTATTATCAATATACTTTTAATATTTTAGAATACTAGAATTGAAAATAGTTAATATTTTAGAGTTATTTCATTTTTCTCCCTTTCCTATTATGTTCAAAACCAGGGAAGGTTAATGTAAATAATCTGGATGCTATTTTGGAAGTCATGGAAGTCAAGCTTAGAGAAAAGGAACTTGATATCATAAAGATCTCCTGAGTAATGATGGGCCTTATGGGAAATACTGTGGTTATTTATTTATTTGAGTCAGGATCTCACTCTGTCACCCAGACTGTAATGCAGTGGCACAATCTCCACTCACTGCAACCTCTGCCTCCTAGACTGAAGTGATTCTTCTCCCTCAGCCTTTTAAGTAGCTGAGATTACAAGCGGGCACCACCACAGCCCGGCGAGTTTTTGTATTTTTGTAGAGATGGGGTTTCACCATGTTGGCCAGGCTGGTCTTGAAAAACCTCAAATGATCCACCTGCCTCAGCCTCCCAAAGTACTGGGATTACAAGTGTGAGCCACTGTGCCCAGCCTGAGAAGCACTGTGATTTTAAACAGAGGCTGAGCTTGCAGGATTAATTATGACTGTTTCAAAATTTTAAATGAGTTGTTGCCCAAAAGACATTTGAATAGCTGTCAGAAGAGCCCACAAAAAAAACAAACAAGGCTCTTCATTTTTATTTCTTTAAAGCCTGTAATCACTTTCTTTATGCATCATGGGGTAGGGCACAGTTGCTGGTGAGGAGGGGAGGAAATATTGTTTTATAAAATTAGGATTTACAACCTGTTTTTCATCACTGATCCATATAGTATTGTTGCCAATCCAGGGTATAACCCAATTTGTTCAGCCAGAACTCATTCCTCTACTAATAGATATTGAGGTGCTTTCTTTTTATTTTTTTGTGACTGTAATAAATAAGTTACAGAGAAATATATATTGTATTATTGATTTTTAAAAATATGTATACTTTTAGGCCAGACATGGTGACCCACACCTGTTGTCCCAGAAATTTGGGAGACCAAGGCAGGTGAATCACTTGAGCCTAGGACAACATGGTGAAAGCCCATCTCTACAAAAAGTATTCAAAAATTGCCAGGCATGGTGGATACATACCTGTAACCCTTGATACTCAAGAGGCTGAGGTGGGAGGATCATCTGAGCCCAGGGTGGTTGAGGCTGCAGTGAGCTATGATCATACCACTGCACTCCAGCCTGGGAGACAGAGTGAGAGTATACTATATATGTATATATGTAACTATATATTTATATATATATTAGATTATAGTAGTATTATATATGTATTTAAAATACCTTTATAAGCACAAGAAAAGTTTAGAAAGATATATGCCAAACTGTTAGTAATGGTGGATGTGGCAATGAAAATGAGAAGAGGTGAAAGAAGGAATTATTTACTTTTTCCCTGTATGCTTGTGTATTTGTTAATTTATTATACAAACTATGTCTTAAATTATAAGTTTTAAACTTTATTTATTTTGTTTTCTTAATTTAAGATAGATATCAATGATGTAAAACAATTGAAATTTAATTGAGTTCTTAGCCTCCATTTGGTTCAGGGGATTACTAAACTGACCACGTAAGTAATTAGTTCCTAATTTAACACTATTCTCTGCCTGCTGCATGAACATAAGGCAATACAAAATAGCAATCTTTATACATATTGAGAAATATGCATAATTTCAATGAGTAAGTGAAAGTAAAGTTGGAGGACTGCTCAAATCAGACACAAAGCCACTGAACGTATGGACCTGATGGAATTAGACCATTTAATAATTGAAGAAAATTCCCTGTGAATAGTGACTTGAAAGGCCATTTAAAATATCATGATTTGGACTTCAAAGGAGTTAGAAGAATCCTCAAGAAAAAAGTCAATCACTTTTGCAAAAATTACTTTTTATATGTTTCAAAGTTTAAAAAGATGCTGGCTGGGCAAGGTGGCTCACACCTGTAATCCCAGCACTGTAGGAGGCCAAGGCCTGCAGATCACTTGAGGTCAGGAGTTCGAGACCAGCTTGGCCAACATGGAGAAACCTTGTCTACTAAAAATCCAAAAATTAGCTGGGTGTGGTGGCTCTTGCCTGTAATCCCAGCTACTAGGGAGGCTGAGTCAGGAGAATCACCTGAACTCGGGACACAGAGGTTACAGTGAGCCAAGATTACACCACTGCACTCCAGCCTGGGCAACAGAGCAAGACTCCATCTAAAATAAATAAATTAAATAAAATAAAATGGAAATAAAGATGCTATAGTATGTAATGATATAGTTTTGCCAGGAAATCATACCAAAACACACTTTTAAAAGTCAGCATTTATTCATTGCTATTGAACCTTTTATATCATTTTAATTTATTATTTACTATTAAATCTTGGTCCTCATTTTAACTGTATTTATTTTCATTGATTATTCAACAATTAATTGTCAATAAAAAGAACCTCCTGTACTATATGTCTTTTTTTAGAGTCCATGTTATTGCTTTTCTCTGTTAAACTTTGTCTTACAGCCTACAAGAATGTTTATCTGAAAAACCTGATAGATAGTTTAGAAGCTGTTACAGGTGAGGAAGAAGTGACCAAATATATATTATTCTGATTTTTTCAGTCAATTTATTTTACTTTTCTTAAATTAAACATTTTAAAAGAACTATATTTTGTTTTTAAAAGGGTGCTCAAAGCACATGAAAAACACACTTTAAGGGCAAAAAAGAATTCTAGATTTATGACTAAGAATATCGGACAGTTCTTTTAACTTGTTTTAAGCCTTTTGATTGATTAAACTAGAGGTCCAAGTTCTTTTTTTTTTTTTTTTTTTTTTTGAGATGGAGTCTCGCTTTGTCACCAGGCTGGAGCTCAGTGGCACCATCTGGGCTCACTGCAACCTCCACCTCTCAGGTTCAAGTGATTCTCCTGCCTCCGCCTCCTGAGTAGCTGGGACTACAGGCGCATGCCACCACACCCAGCTAATTTTTATATTTTTAGTAGAGAGAGACTGGGTTTCACCATGTTGGCCAGGATGGTCTCAATCTTTCTACCTTGTGATTCACCTCCCAAAGAGCTGGGATTACAGGCGTGAGCCACCACATGTGGACGAAGTTCATTCTTATTTAACTTTATAATTATCTTCAGACATGAATACTGAGAAAATTAGCGATAGAAACCTTAACGCTTGATAATATACTTTTCATATATGTAATCAACTGTTTACTGATCACATAAATACTAATGTTATGTACAAAGTAAATATAAATACTAAATGTGTATGATTCCAATTCTTTACACATATTTTATATGTGTTCCTGTTATTCTTAAAGTCTTTTGAAATTAAGCTTCTTTTTAAAAAATAATTTCAACTTTTATTTTAGATTCAGGGGGTACATGTTCAGGTTTGTTACATGGGCATATTGTGTGATGCTGAGGTTTGGGGTACAAATGATCCTATCACCCAAGAAGTGAGCTTAGTATTCAATAGGTAGTTTTTCAACCCATGTCTCTCTCCCCACCACCCCATCTAGTAGTCCCTAGTCCTATTTTTGCCCTTTTTATGTCCATGTGTACCCAATGTTTACCTCACTTATAAGTGAGAACATACAGTATTTGGTTTTCTGTTCCTGTACTAATTTGCTTAGGATAATGGCCTCCAGCTGCATCCATGTAGCTACAAAGATTATAATCTCATTTTTTTATGGCTTCGTAGTATTCTGTGGTATGTATGTACCACAGTTTCTTTATCAGAATTTATTTACCATTGATGGCCACCTAGGCTGATTCCATGCATTTTCTCTGGTGAACATAGGAGTGCCTATATCTTTTTGGTAGAACAATTAATTTTCTCCTAGATATATACCCTGTAATGGGATTGCTGAGTTGAGTGGTAATTCTGTATTAAGTTCTTTGAGAAATCTCCAAACTGCTTTCTACAGTGGCTGAACTAATTTACATTCCAACCAACAGTATGTAAGTATTCTCCTTTCTCTGCAACCTTGCCAGCATCTGCTGTTTTTGACTTTTTAATAAAGGCCATTCTGACTGGTGTGAGATGATATCTCACTGTAGCTTTGATTTGCATTTCTCTGATGACTAGTGATGTTGAGCATTTTTTTCCATATGCTTGTTGGCTGCATGTATGTCTTCTTTTGAAAAGCATTCATGTCTTTTGCCCACTTTTGAATGGAATCATTTGTTTTTGCCTGTTGATTTCCTTAAGTTACTTAGAGATTCTAGATATTAGACTTTTGCCATATGCATAGTTTGTGAATATTTTCCCCCATTCTGTAAGTCATCTGTTTACTCTGTTGATGGGTTTTCTTGCTGTGCAGAAGCTCTTTAGTTTAATAAGGTCCCATTTGTCAATTTTTGTTTTTGTCACAATTGCTTTTTGAGTCATAAATTGTATTCCAAGACCAGTGTTCAGAATGGCATTTCCTAGATTTTCTCCTAGGATGCCTATAGGGGTTTTTTTGTTGCTACTTGGGATTTTTTTCTTGAAACGGTCTTACTCTGTTGTGCAGGCTGGAGTGCAGTGGCACTATCACAGCTCATTACAGCCTCAACCTCCTGGGCTCAAGCAGTCCTCCCCCTTTAGCCTCCTAAGGAGCTGAGACTACAGACACACACCACCACAGAGTCTCACTGTGTTGCCCAGGATGGTCTTGAACTCCTGGGCTCAAGGGATTCTCCTGCCTTGGCCTCCCAAAGTAGGATTCTTATAGTCTGATGTCTTACATTTAAATCTTTAATCTATCTCAATTTACTTTTTATATATGGTGAAAGGTAAAGGTGCAGTTTCATTCTTCTGCATATAGCTAGCCTGTGCTGACAACTACCATTCTGATAAATGGCTAGCCAATTATCCCAGCACCATTTATTGACTAGGGCCTTCTTTCTCCATTGTTTCTTTTTGTTGACTTTGTTGAAGATCAGGTGACTGCTGATTTTCTGGGTTCTCTATTCTGTTCCATTGGTCTATGTGTCTGTTCTTGTATGTGTACCATACTGTTTTAGTTATTGTAGTCTTATAGCATAGTTTGAAGTCAGGGAATGTGATGCCTCTAAGTTTGCTTTTTTTTCTAATTAAGCTATTTTTTAATGAAATTATTGTGTCCAGCTTTCTAAACCTTATCTTTGACTTATCAATGTTTTAGCAACAAAACATAAATGGCATGTTTTATTAATAAGCCTGTAATCTCACCTTTTCCAGATTAATCAAAGATATTTATTTAGCATAAATAGAAGATGTAATTATTGTTTAGAATAATTAGGTAGTCCTTTAGAATCTCATGTGTTACCATTCTATCTGTTTGAAGGAGAGGAAGTTGATGTCAATGACATGAAAACAATTCTAGGAAACATGGGGATAGAGCTTACAGATAAAGACCTCACAGAACTGGTATATAATCTGCCAGTTGATGGTGAGTATTTCAAATAAAAATGTAGTCTTCCAGGGAGGCTTATTGTTAAATTGTGAAAACTTCTAAAATTATCTAACTTTAAAAATAATCTATGACCCATGTTACATAATTATAAATGACCCCATTATATTTTAAAAGATTATTTGTGCCATTCGACTTTTATTTTGAGGATCACCAATTGTGTCATCTTGTTTTCTGGCATCAGTGTTCAGTTATGTATTTTATTACTTTTGATTCTACTGAAAGATCAAAAATTTAAGCCAGAATAAATGAGAAAAAGAACGGAAAGGGAGTGATCTAATAGGGGACAATGGAAATATCACAGAATAAGAAGAAAGGATATGTTTTGGCATGGTAGAGTGGCAGTATTAACTGCCTATATTAATAAAGTTACAGCCTTCTCCATTCTGAAATTCCTGGTTTTGTATTTTCTATAAAGCCCCGCATTGCTCTTGTGTGATCTGAACAATGCTTTTTCTTACAGATGGAAAATTCTATCAGAAAAGATTGCTGGATGCTATAAAGTTTCTTAAAGGTAGGGGAGATGCTTAATAAAATGCTGATTAATCTAAGAGTATAATGTTTGGCATTTACATAATTTCCTTGTGATTAAATTGTGCATCCTGCCACATAACATGCATATTATTACATACTTTTGTTTCTTTTATACTTTACCCTCTACTTTAAGAAATCACTTCCTATAGTGTAACTCAGAAAGAATTCCCATGCTTTCCTGGAATTTTTCAAACTTTGACAGAAAAAATTATTACAGCCAAGGCTACACCACAAAGAGTAAAGGGAAATTACTTTTTTAACTTAAATAAAATGTTAATTGAATTGCTTATAGGACAAAGAATAAATGTTTGAGGGGATGGATACTTCATTTTACGTAATGTGATTATTACACATTGTGTGCCTATATCAAAACATCTCATGTACCCTATAAATATTGGCACCTACTAATAAGTACTCACAAAAATTAAAATTTAAAAAAACGTATGGGGCAGGGCCAAGATGGTTGATTAGAAGCAGTGGTGTTCAGAGGCGCCCATCAAAAAAAACCATAATAAACATGTAAATCCTTCACCAGCAACCAAGGTATCCAGGGTCTCTCATCAAAATTGACTAGAAGGCTGGTGTGACCCATGGAGAGAAAGAAGAACAGTGTGGTGTGGTGGCCCACCTGTAAGCAACATGGGAAAGGAGAACCCCCTGCCCCCAGCCAAGGTAGGCAGTGAGTGAGCTTGCTACCCAGCCAGAAAAACTCTGCTTTTTCCATGGAACTGTGCAATCCACAGATCAGAAGATCCCACTCATGAACCCCTGCCACCGGCGCCTAGCATCCCAACCTTGGAATGCACAGATTCTTACAGCCTCTCAACTGGAATCTGCTTAAGCCTACTGAAATCCCAGTGGGGAAGGGTGGCCAGCACCAGCTGCAGCTGCCTGTTGTCTAAGCCATTTGAGCTCTTTATGGGAGGGACAGCAGCCAGCACTGGGACTTGCAACTGCCTAGCTTGCTAAGCTCCCTGGGTGGGGGAAGGGTGGCACCTATTTCTATAGCTCCAAGCTGTGCTTTTCCCCTCCTGGCACCAGGGAAGCTGGACGGCTTTGTCCCAAGACTTGTCCGAACAGTCCAACATACCAGCTGTGACAGCTTGCGGCCAGAGTGCCTCTGCAGGCCTAACATTGACGCATCCTTCCTAATTGGGTGTAGCTTCCCTGTGGGATCTCCAATAACTCCAGCTAGAGGCTCAGGGACAGAATTTGGATCTCTCTGGACCTGAACCCCTAAAGGGAGGGGTAATTGCAATCTTTGCAGACCAGCAGACTTGGCCTCTCTTCCTGGCAGTTCTGAGGAATCCGGCAGCACAGAGGAGTGGGTTTCTCCCAGTGAAGCATACTCTCTCCACCAAGGGATAAAGTGATTCATTAAATGGGTCCTGCTGCTGATGCCACCCAACCAGGTTAGACCCTCCAACAGGGGTTGTCAGACACTCTATAAAGGAGTGATCCTACTGGCATCAGGTGCCCATTGAGATCAGAGGTCCCAGAAGAAGGAGAGCACACACCCATTTTTGCTGTTCTCCAATCTCTTTGAGTGACATCTCCAGGCACAGGAGCAAATCAGATGAATAGAGCCTGAAGTGAACCCCAAGCAAACTGCAGCAGCCCTACAGAAGAGAGACCTGACTAATGAAAGAAAATCAGTCAGAAAGTGACAACAACAGCATCACCAACAGCAACAACAAAAAGGCCCTCACAAAAACCTCATTCAAGGGTCAGCAGCCTTGGAGACTGAAACAAGAAAAACAAAGATGAAAAGGAGTCAATGAAAAAAACACTGAAACCCCAAAAGATCAGAGTGCCTCTTCTCCTCCAAATGATCTCAGTGTCTCTCCATCAACAGTGCAGAACTGGACAGAGGATCAAATTGATGAATTGACAGAAGTAAGCATCAGAAGATGGGTAATAAAACTATGATAAGCTAAAGGAGCATGTGCTAACCCAATGCAAAGAAGCTAAGAACCTTGATAAAAAGGTTGAGGAATTGCTAACCAGAATAATCAGTTCAAAGAGGAACATAAATGACCTGATGGAGCTGAAAAACACAGCACAAGAACTTCATGAAGCATACATAAGTATGAACAGCTGAATTGACCAAGCAGAAGAAAGAATGTCAGAGTTTGAAGACCACCTTACTGAAATAAGACAGGCAGAAAAGAATAGAGAAAAAAGAATGAAAAGGAATGAACAAAGCCTTCAAGAAATAGGGAACTTCATAAAAAATACCAAACCTACAATTGATTGAAGTACCAGAAGGAGACAGGGACAATGGAAACAAACTGGAAAACATACTTCAGGATATTATCCAGGAGAACTTCCCCAACCTGGCAAGACAGGCCAGCATTCAAATTCAGAAAATACAGAGAACACCACTAAGATACTCCTTGAGAAGAGCAATCCCAAGACATAAAACCATCAGATTCTCCATGGTTGAAACGAAGGAAAAAAATGTTAAGGGCAGCCAGAGAAAAAGGTCAGGTTACCTACAAAGGGAAGCCCATCAGACTAACAGCAGATCTCTGCAGAAACCCTACAAGCCAGAGAAGAGTGGGAGCCAATATTCAACATTCTTAAAAAAAACAATTTTCAACCCAGAATTTCATATTCAGTGAAACTAAGCTTCATAAGCAAAGGAGAAATAAAATCCTTTCCAGACAAGCAAAGAAAGGCTGAGGGACTTTGTCACCACCAGGCCTGCCTTACAAGAGCTCCTGAAGAAAGCACTAAATATGGAAAGGAAAAACTGGGTACCAGCCACTGCAAAAACATACCAAAATATAAAGACCAATGACATCATGGAAAAACTGTATCAACTAAAGTGCAAAATAACCAGCTAGCATCATGATGACAGGATCAAATTCACACATAATATTAACCTTAAATGTAAATGGGCTAAATGCCCCAATTAAAAGACACTGATTGGCAGATGGATAGAGTCCAGACCCATCAGTGTGCTCTCTTCAGGAGACTCATCTCACATGCAAAGACGTACATAGGCCCAAAATAAAAAGATGGAGGAATATTTCCCAAGCAAATAGAAAACAAAAAAAATCTGGAGTTCCAATCCTAGTCTCTGACAAAATAGACTTTAAACCAACAAAGATCCAAAAAGGCAAGGGCATTACATAATGGTAAAGGGATCAATGCAACAAGAAGAGCTAACTATCCTAAATAGATATGCACCCAATACAGGAGCATCCAGATTCATAAAACAAGTTCTTAGAGACCTATAAAGAGATTTAGACTCCCACACAATAATAGTAGAAGATTTTAACACCCCACTGTCAATATTAGACAGATTAATGGGAGAGAAAGTTAACAAGGGTATTCAGGACTAGAACTCAGCTCTGGACCAAGCAGACCTAATAGACGTCTACAGAACGCTCCACCCCAAATCAGCAGAATATACATTCTTTTCAATGCTACATGGCACTTATTCTAAAATCGACCATATAATTGGAAATAAAATACTCCTTAGCAAATGCAAAAGAACTGAAATCATAATGAACAATCTCAGACAACAGTGCATTCAATCCAATTAGAACTCAGGATTAAGAAACTCAGTCAAAACCACACAATTTCACTGAAATTGAACAACCTACTCCTGAATGATTTCTGGGTAAATGATGAAATTAAGGAAGAAATCAAGAAGTTATTTGAAACCAGTGAGAACAAAGAGACAATGTACCAGAATCTCTGGGACATAGATAAAGCAGTATTTAAAAAAAAAAAGCAGTATTAAGAGAGAAATTTATAGCACTAAATGCCCACATCAGAAAACTAGAAAGATCTCAAATCAGCACCCTATGATCACAATTAAAAGAGCTAGAGAGACAAGAGCAGACTAATCCAAAAGCTAGCAGAAGGCAAGAAATAACTAATATCAGAGAAGAATTGAAGGAGATAGAGACATAAAAACCTTCTAAAATATCAATGAATCCAGGAGCTGGATTTTGAAAAAATTAACAAACTAGATAGACTGCTAGCTAGCCTAATAAGAAGAGAGAGAAGAATGAAATCGACACAATAAAAAATGATAAAAGGAATATCACCACTGACCCCACAGAAATACAACCTACTCCTGAATGACTCCTGGGTAAATCATGAAATTAAGGGAGAAATCAAGAAGTTCTTTGAAACCAATGAGAACAAAGAGACAATGTACCAGAATCTCTGGGACACAGTTAAAGCAGTGTTAAGAGAGAAATTTATAGCACTAAATGCCCACATCAGAAGGCTAGGAAGATCTCAAATCAACGCATGTATGTTTATTGCAGCTCTACTTACAATAACAAAGACATGGAACCAACTCAAATGCCCATCAATGATAGACTGGATAAAGAAACTGTAGTGCTTATATACCGTGGAATACCATGCAGCCATAAAAAGAATGAGATCATGTCCTTTGCAGGGACATGGATGAAGCTGGAAGCTGTCATCCTCAGCAAACTAACACAGGAACAGAAAACCAAATGCCACATGTTCTCACTCATAAGTGGGAATTGAACACTGAGAACACATGAACACAAAAAGGGGAACAATATGCACCAGGGCCTGTTGGGGATGGGGGTCAGGAGAGGGAACTTAGAGGATGGGTCATTAGGAGCAGCAAGCCATCATGGCACACGTATAACTATATAACAAACCTGCACATTCTGTACATGTATCTAGTTGTTTTTTAGAATACATTTTTAAATTTTTTTGTTTAAAAAAGAAAATGGGAGTGAAAAATCCAGCATCCCTTAACATAACTAGAAGTTATTGTAAAAATAAACACAGTGACAATCAGAGAAAATGAGTTAGAAACATTGGATCATCACCTTGCTGAAATTCTGTGAGAAGTTATTCAGTGATCTTTAAAACTTTATACTGGGTATGCTTATCGTGACTATTAAAACAACAAACTCTAATTCTAACTCTGTTGCTGACTGTCTTTATGTCTTCTTAGTATTTGGTCTTTTGTATGAAAATGTTAGCCATAATCCTCAGAAGTTGATAGTTTTCCCCACATTTTATAGACATTAGCTTTTGCTTATATATCTCTCTTTTAATAAGGAGGGAAGATTGACTCCAGTAAAGTGGATACAGTTTTGGGAAACATGGGCATAAACCTCACTGAAAAAGAACTTGAAGATCTAACACAAAACCTACTAGTTGATGGTGAGAACTTTATATATTACTAAACCCTACAGAAAAACAAGTCTTATAAGCCTATTTATAACAATCATTAAAAATGTTATTTGGACCTGGATTCAGTGGTGCTTACCTGTAGTCCCAGCTACACTGGAGGCTGAAGCAGGAGGATCACTTGAGGCCAGGAGGTCAAGGCTTCGGTGCACTATGCTTGTGCCTATGAATAGCCATTGCACTTCAGCCTGGGCAACATAGCAAGACTCAGTCTCTTAAAAAAAAAAAAAAGTTTATTTGGCATCAGGAAGGCATTCTGAAAACCTTAGAGGAAAAACTCAGGTCCAAAGGAAGAACACACAGTATCTCTTGCTGATTTCATGTGTATTTGGAGAAAGATTTCATGATCATGAGTCATTCTCTCTCTATCTCTGCTTTTCTCTCTCTCTCTCTCTCCTCTCTCTCTCCTCCTCCCACTCCCTCTGTCCTGCTTTTATATTCCTTCTTCCCTGCTTTTATATTCAACTTTTCTCCATATTCCCTGTAAGGTAGAGAGAATTGATAGGTATTGTTCAAATTCCAGTCCATACCTTTGGCCATGGTGCTACCTTTGTGCTAATAGGTGACATCAGCACATTTATTTTTTTTTAAGGGTACTTAATCTTTTATGTTTTTTTTTCCCTTTTACTATTGCCAGATAGACCTGCTGTACATGACACACGTTTGAATCAGTGTTTGTCTATCTCTGTCTCTCACTTTTATAGGGGTCCTATGGAGAAAGTTTATGGTGGACAGTTTAAACTACCTCCTTTCCTTTTCCTTTTCCCCTGATGCTGGCATGTATACATTATATCAACTTATATCCTTTCCTGGGTTTGGATTAGGTATTAATAACAAGGTGGAAGTAACCTTAAGTAACATATATAACTTTTTTTTTTTTTTTTTTGAGACGGAGTTTCACTCTTGTTACCCAGGCTGGAGTGCAATGGCACAATCTCGGCTCACTGCAACCTCCGCCTCCTGGGTTCAGGCAATTCTCCTGCCTCAGCCTCCTGAGTAGCTGGGATTACAGGCATGCATCACCATGCCCAGCTAATTTTTTGTATTTTTAGTAGAGACGGGGTTTCACCATGTTGACCAGGATGGTCTTGATCTCTTGACCTCGTGATCCACCCACCTTGGCCGCCCAAAGTGCTGGGATTACAGGCGTGAGCCACCACACCCGGCATATAACATTTTTTATAACCTTAAGTAACATATATAACATTTTTTATACTCTTAAGTAAGAAATGTGTTGAACTATTACTAAAAAACAATGAAAGTGTTAACAGAGCCACTAACTGGCCAGATAATACACAGAAAGAGGAAAATTAAGTTGGCAAAATTGTGAATTTGGTGGAAGATGCTAGAAGAATATAGTGAAAGAAAGTTAACATAGAAAGATAAATAAATGGAAGAGAGAAAAAGAGAAATGCCAGTGAAGGATAACTGGAATGCCCCCCGTCCCCTGACAATTATCTGAGAAAGGTAGTGATTGTTATTATTCAGCCATTCCAAATAAAAGTTAAAAATGAAATAGGGAACTTAGTAAGAATAATGAGTTAAATGTTCACATGTACTTTTATTTTATGTGTGGTTGAGCTATTTTAGTATTATATTTTCTTTTTTGAGTTGGTGCCTTTATCATTCTAAAATGTCCCTTTTTATTTCTTGTAATATGTTTTGCCTTAAATACTACTTTGTCCAGTATTACCAGTGTTACTAGCTTTTTTCTGTTTACCTGGTATATTTTTTCCTTCCTTTGGTTTTCAGTCTATCTGTACCCATATTTTTAAAGGACGTATCTTGTATACAACATATAATTAGCCTCTGTGTTTTGAGTCTGACAATCTTTCTCTTTTTTCGCTTTTGGTTAGTTTTTAGTATAGTTAATGTTATTATTAATATACATCTACAGTGCATGATTGCTGAGTTTTGACATATGCATATACCTATGTAACCTAGACATCAAGATATAGAACATTACTGTCACTCTAGAAATTTCCTTCATGCTCCATCCCAGTTAGTCCTCACCTGGCCCCAGAAGCAACCAGTATGCCAATTTTTTCTACCATGAATCAGTTTTACCTACCCCAAAACATATAAGTGATGCATATAGTAAATACTATTTTGTATAAAGCCTCTGCTCCAGTTTTCTAATTGCTGCAACATAATTACTCCAAAAGTTAGTGGCATAAAACAACTACTTATTATACTCACAGATTCTGTAGGTCAGGAATTCAGACAGAACATAGTGAGGATGGCTTATCTCTGATTCGTGATGTCTCAGCCAGAAAACTCAGAAGTTAGGGTTCTGAATCATCTATGAGCTCATTCTTCTCATTCACTGTCATACTTACATATGATTTTACTATTACTGGCAAAAAAAAAAGACTGCTTTATTCTCCATCAAGATACCCTTTCCCACCAGATATTTTATTTTTTCTCTATCTCATCCCTCATCTCACACACACACATGATCCCAATAGAATGATACTTTAGAACACTGTTACTCCTCCCATCACATCCTCTTCCCCCAACCATGAGAGCTATAGAATGTCTTCACTTCCCCAACTATACATTCCCAACTCTAACAAACTATCAGCTCCCAAGTTTTACTGAGGTAATTTAGTGCTTTTATTAGAATTTATCTTACATAATCTCTCTTCAATTTCAAGAGCCTTTAATTATGATTTCATAGAACACATTTCAACAGACTATTTTTGAACTTATAGAGTGGAAGGAAGCTTCTGTTCTGACATCCTTGTACTTTCACCATCTCAGGAGAATGAACATTTCTGCCTACCTGTTTTATTTCTTCTTGGCCTTTTAGGAGTCATATGAACTGGGAACACCTCATGCCGGCCTTTATTGGCCTTCATCAGAGTTTTTAGGATTTTATGTGTCAAGTGCTTCCCCAAGTTTACTGCTTCTCAGTGCTAGTCCCATGCTCCAACACTTTTCTGGTGCTTTCCTAGTCCATGGGGGAGAGAGTCCCATGTCCCTTCTTTCTTCCAGGACACCATCAGAGCCTAAGGCTTGATATATGCCTAGCAGCCTATAGAGACCAGTAACATTTGATTCCCAAAAGGCAAACAGCTTGGAGATGGTGGTAAAAGAGACAGTGATTCCTATTCAGGTCTCCACATTTACAGATCTCTTTCAAAACTTTGATTAAGGTAAACACAAAAGAATAACATCACATGAAGTACATCTATACCATGGAATAACTATACAGCTATTTATAAAAAGAGATCATGTCCTTTGCAGGGACATTGATGGAACTGGAAGACACTATCCTTAGCAAACTAACACGGGAACAGAAAACTAAATACTGCACCTTCTCACTTATAAGTGGGAGCTAAATGATTAGAGCACATGAACATATAGAGGGAAACAACAGACACTGGGATCTACCTGAGGATAGAAATTGGAAGGAAGGAGAGGAACAGAAAAAGTAACGATTGGGGACAAGGCTTAAAACCTGAGTGATGAAATAATCTGTACAAAAAACCCCCATGACACATATTTACCTATATTACAAACCTGCACCTGTATCCCTGAACTTTAAAAAAAGTTTTAAAAATAACATAGGTAAAAGAAATTTTCCTTGTCACATAGAATGTTTTTATTCCTGCTAATAGATTCCTTATTATTTGAGATAAATTTAGAATATTTTAATGAAAGAGAACTCCCTGAGGGCCTAGTTCTCAGTTGAAATACCCAATTAAATAGCCTATGGCAGAGCATCCTTCCATCCTGGGTCAGAATTTTTCATTAAAAACCAGGTGGACAAGCAAAAGACAAAAGGATTTAGTTGACTCCTCAATATAGCAAACCATACACAAAGCCAAAAAAACAGTAATCTCCTTCAAAGATCTTATCTTTTTCTCTCATGGGCTTGATTACCTATAATAGGCCAGTTGAATAAAAACACATTTTCCTGCTGTCCTGACTGGTAGCTGGTGTTGACACAGAAATTATTTGTGTCCAGGAATACTTGAATAGATGTAGATTAAGGATCAAAAAATTCTTCTCATCATAGACTTAACAAGACTATTAACAATTGATACACTCTTCTGGCCACTCTACTGGTATTTTGTGAGGACTCAAAAAGATAAGTGTATTGAATTCATGAAATAACCACATTTTTAATCTTCCTAGGTTGTAGCTAGATTTTTCTCATTAATATGGAATAAGTATTACTTTGCCTCTAGAAGAAAAAAGTAATTTTTTTTTCAGAAACTAGCAATTAGTCACTGTTCTTCCCCAAAGCATAATACATCAGTGCTGCTGAAAGATTAATTGTATTTAGGAAATAATTGTGTTTATTATCATTTGAGCTTTCTTAAGGAGAGTGTAGCAAACGTTACATATTCTAAAGCAAATAAATATTAAATTCTGCTCTGTGCAACAACATTTTCATAGTCTTATTGTCATGTTTCTGTCTAATTTATTCCTTGTTTTACAGTTAATGGTAAGGTTGATCTGAGAAAGGTGATGAATGAAATAAAATATTTTACGGGTAAGATATTACTAAAACATTTTTAGTTGAATTCGAACTCTGTTGTATTTTGCATGGTGCTTTCCCAATATTAAATATATTAGTGCTGATATTTTACATATTTGTATACAATTGTTCTTCTGCCTTTGACTTTGAGTTATTTAGGATTTGGACATAAAAATGAATGGTGATATTTGAGTAATAAATTATTTATATTTTCTGTGACTTCTAGCAATAATATGCTGATCTGAACCAGTGTTTTAATGAGAGGTTACAAATTGGCCACCCATGAGTTGAATTCAAATTGCTGTCAACTTTTATAAGGTCTGAAAATACTAAATTTGCATTTACTTGCAAAACAGCTGATGTTTTTTCTCTTTGAATAAAGCATGTGCTCTCTGTTTCACCAAAGCCAATTTCACTCCTTTCCTCTACCTCCAGACTCTCGTGAGCTTTTGAGTTTATAATTTCTGGATTAAGTAGTCGAAATTTAGGTAGACACAGAAAATAAGAAGATGAATATTTTTAAAGGATTAAGTGGATTGGGTTGCTTTAAATAATAATCACATGATTCAGCACTAAAAGGAAAACAGACTGGATACCTCTAAATTGTAGGCTGATTGTACAATTGGATTTTCTTCTATGCTAGCATGTCTTTACATTAGGCTTAGGAGGCCACTCTGTCTTTCCATGAAGAATCAATGAAGTTCTTTCTCACTCATCCTTAAACACGAATATAATACGTGAGACGATGGAATACTATGCAGTCATAAAAATGAATGAGTCATGTCCTTTGCAGGGACATGGATGAAGCTGGAAGCCATCATTCTCAGCAAACTAACACAGGAACAGAAAACCAAACACCACATGTTCTCATTCATAAGTGGGAGCTGAACAATGAGAACACATGGACACAGGGAGGGGAACAACACACACCAGGGCCAGTCGGGAGATGGGGGGCGAGAGGGGAGGGAGAGCATTAGGACAAATAGCTAATGTGTGCAAGGCTTAAAACCTAGATGACGAGTTGATAAGTACAGCAAACCACCATGGCACATGTATATCTATGTAACAAAGCTACATGTTCTACACTTGTATCCCAAAACTTCAAGTAAAATTAAAAAAAAAAAAAGAATATGTGAGAATATGTAAGTAGTCTACAGCCCTACCAACCTGAATGCACCTGATCTCATCTGATCTTAGAAGCTAAGTAGGGTCAGGCCTGGTTAGTACTTGGATGGGAGAATATGTAAGTAAAGATGTCATTATATGGTTCAGCTTTTTCATTCTTTCTGATAATTATAATATCCTAAAATTGCCATGTGTTCTTTCTTTCAAAGGAGACAAAGTTGATACAAATAAACTTAAAAGTGTTTTAGGAAACTTGGGGATTGAGCTCATGCCTAATGAACTCTTGAACTTGCTGAAAACATTGCCAGTTAATGGTAAGTATTAGGATGCCATTGGGTTTTTTAGATAGTCTGATTTTGTGGATATGTAAAAACATTCCAAAATAAACTAAAAATGTTTAAAAATTGTTTAAAAGCTAATACTAATGCAAAGAAAAAATTCATCACTTAGATTTTAATTGAAAATCATCAAACCTTTCAGCTGCAAGTTGCTATCAAAGTTCAAATTCATTATTTACATCTTTAGGTTGTTGTTTAGCTAGAATTGTAAAAACAGATTAGAAGAAAAATAAAAGGGACAAGAAAATAGAGAAAGGAGGAGATAGAAGCAGGAATAGAGAGACAATAAAAGAAACTAAATAATGTAGCTGTGTGTGTTTCTAAAAAATAGAATATATAGTTTACCAGCAAGTGGATAATTTTGTACATTGAGAAAAGATTACGTTTCTTAACTTATTATTAGGGGAAATAAAACTAAAAAATTTCAGAAAAATAGAAAATGCTTTTAATTCCACAACCCAAAGATAATCAAAGTTAAAATCTTACATCATTTTCTTTTAGTACTTTTTAGATGATGAATAAATGATAAAGACAGATAATATTTATGTATATATCATTCTTATCTCATCACACTATTAATGTGACTCATCATAGAAAATCTTGATAATGCAGAGAAAAAAATCAAAACATCTCTATTTCTACCTCAAAATAATAATTACTATCAAAAACTTGAGATTTATATTTCCAGTTTCCTGTTTATAAATATATATTTTTACTTTATTTGGCAACCTTGTGGAGAAAACTTTGCAAACATCCTAAAATTCGTCAAGATTAGATGTCTTTAAGTAAAGTTGCAAAAGGAAGATATTTTATTTTGTCAAATTTCTTTCCAGAAAAGTTATTATAATTTGAATTCCCACAAACAGCAGTAGAGAATGTTATTTTCCCTACATTCCCAATACAGAAAAGTAGGTGGGTACATATAATTGTTATGATTTGCATTTTACTCATGTCCTACTGAGAGTGAACATTTTGTTACTGTGTATTATCTATTTGCATTTGAAATGTTCCTTAGGCAAAGATTTTAAGTTCCTTCTGAAATTAAGAGATATGTACTATCTTCTAACTCTATTTACAAAATACCCGGTTTTTTATAGCTGATGGAAAAGTGTATCAGAAAAGGTTGATGAAAGGCATGAAGTCTCTTGAACGTGAGTAAGCAGCACAATAAGAAGTCTTAAACCTTTATTTGTACTGTTAAAATATAAATCTTCTTTATTTATGGCTCCTTCCGTAGATATGCAAGTAACCAAGTGTTTATTTTACTATCATCTGCCAGAAAGTGCTAGACTTTCTTGGATTTTTTCCTCATTCAGTCCCAAAGGGAAAAAAAACTTAAATACATTGCAAAAGGTGAAGAGTAAAGGCTGTCAGATAAGGATTTCAGTCAAAAGCAGGACAAATAATTTGCAAATACAAGCAACAAAAATAACTCTGTTCTGCAGAATATTATGGTCATCTTTAGCTCTAGATTTTCAACCTTCTTTAAGAATATTTTTGTTCTATAGGCTTGTTCCCAGAATAAGATTTGAGGAATTCAGTTCTAATTTTTATCCTTCTGTTAGCTGTAAAAGACAAGTTTTTGGTGTTTGTCTCAAAATCTTAACAATTATGCTAGGAAATGAATGATATTTTTTCATTGTGATAAAACTCATCCTCAATAAAGAAAACTAATACAGCAGCATGAATGCATAGTCCAATTTTAGAATCATTCTGCTTTACCGTATTCCTTTCCTATTCCTTACTTAGAAGGCATTGTTGATGTCAATAAGCTGGACACTCTTTTAGAAAACCTGGGGATAAAGATAACGGAAGAGGAATTCATGGATCTAACAGAAAGACTACCAGATGACTGTGAGCACTGTAATCACCCCTATACTTTTTTAGGAGTACTTATTCTTTTAAACTTAAAAATAAGAATTTCTCCAACCAGAGCATCAAAATATCAATGACTTTTCAAAAACTTAGAGAAGACGTCAGTCTTAAAGTTAGGAGAAAAAAAACATTTCTCTTGATTTCTTCATAATTTCAATTAATCTAAATCAATCTAAGAGAAATAATTCTCTAAATTAATTCAATTAATCTAAGAGAATCTATTGATTCTCTTAATCATTTCAATTAATCTAAAATCCAGTTTTTTTCCCCTATTGATACTAAACATTGCATAAAATGAAGGCAAGATTTTGTTAAGCCAGGAAATGATCAGGAGGTGGCATTCAAAATGGAAGAGAAGGGTTTATTAATACAAGGAAGGGAGATCACCTCACATTTTCTTCTCCCAATGCATCAGGTTCCCATATTCACCATTCTATTAAAAAATACTCTTACTTAGCTGACTGCAACATCCTAGTAGATAAATCCAATGTGCATCACTCTTTTTTTCTTTTACTTTAAGTTCTGGGGTACATGTGCAGATCTTGCAAGATTGTTACATAAGTATACACAGGCCATGGTGGTTTGCTGCCTTCATCCGCCAGTTACCTACATTAGATATTTCTCCTAATGTTATCCCTCCTCAATCTCCCCACCCCTCCCACTATACCTCCCCTAAGCCCCCAATGCCCCCCTCCCTGTGTCCATTTGTTCTCATTGTTCAACACCCATTTATGAGTGAGAACATGTGGTATTTGGTTTTCTGTTCTTGTGTCAGTTTGCTGAGAATGATGGTTTCCAGTTTTATCCATGTCCCTGCAAAGGACATGAACTTACCCCTTTTTATGGCTGCATAGTATTTCATGGTGTATATGTGCCACATTTATTTTATCCAGTCTATCATTGATGGGCATTTGGGTTGGTTACAAGTCTTTGCTATTACAAGCAGTGCCAGAATGAACATACGTGTGTATGTGTCTTTATAATAGATCGCTTTATAATCCTTTGGGTAATACCCAGTAATGAGATTGTGGGTCAAATGGTATTTCTATTTCTAGATTCTTGAGGAATTGCCACACTGTCTTCCACAATGGTTGAACTAATTTACACTACCACCAACAGTGTAAAAGTGTTCCTATTTTTCCACATCCTCTCCAGCATCTGTCATCTCCAGATTTTTTAACGACCGCCATTCTAACTGGCATGAGATGGTGTCTCAATGACACCACTCATCTTTTTCTAACTTGAGCTCTCTGATGCCTTTAATAATATTAATTTTTTTTCTTTTATTACAACTCTATATTCTCAGCTGCTATTCATACTCTCCATAATTTTCTTCTCTGCCCTTCCTAAATCTCAATGTTTATGGTCTTCTATTTCTCCCCTCAAACTCATGGGTTAAGTGTGCATTTTTTTAATGAAATAGTGCAGTATAGAACAGCAAAGAAAATATCAGAGCATATGTCACACAGTAAGGCTAGATATTGTTTCATAAAATCTTGTGGGGTGTGTGTGTGTGTGTGTGTGTGTGTGTGTGTGTGTGTGTTTGAGATATGGTGGGTGTTCAGAGTTCTTAGTGAAGCTTATGATAAAAATTTTTGAAAAATACTGGCTTAAATGATGGTGATATAACAGTTCTATGCTCAGTCTGTTGTTCTTTCCACAACGAAACTTCTCCTAGATGATTTCACTTACCTGTGTATGTTTAAGCTTTCAAATCTTTGATCTCAAACTGAGACTTATCCCATGTGATTCAGTCTAGGATAGTAGAGTTCTTTTATCTTGAATGACTGAGACAAGTAGTTGGTCAGATCATCTTAAAGTGGAGTTAAAATAAAGGATCATAAAATGATATATTAAACATTTTACTTGAAAGAAAAAACTGGCCCAAGGCCATTTTTTTTTTCTGAAAACATTTTTGTTTTGCTCATGTTCTGGTTTTTTTTTTTCCTCTTTCTGACCCCGAGATTCTCCTCTGTGGATCTTTTTTTTCTTTTAAGCCCTCAGCAAGCCCATGCCCTCTGAATTAATTTCCCGTGGCTGCTGCAACAAATTAACACACAGTGGGAGGTTTCAAGAAACAGAAATTTGTTTTCTCACAATTCTAGAACCCAGAAGTCTAAAGTCAAGGTGTCAACAGGAACTTCCTCCTTCCAGAGGCTCCAGGGGAGAATCCTTCCTTGCCTCTTCCAGCTCTTGTAGCTGTCAGCATTCTCCAGCTTCCTTGACTTGTGGCCTCATCACTCCACTCTCTGCCTCTGTCTTCAAGTCACTTTCTCTTCTGTGTCTGCATCAATCTCTATTTCACTCTTATAAGGATACTTGTCGTTCAATTTAGGGCCCACCTGAATAATCCAGGATGATTTGCTCATGTTCTTGATTGATCATTTCTGTAGTAATATCATTTTAAGTTGATAGTTATTTCCTCTCTGCTTAAAAAAAATTTCATAATTTTCTGATTTTTCTTTTTTTCCATTCTTTTATTTATTTATTACATTTATTATTTTTTAAATTATACTTGAAGTTCTCGGGTACATGTGCAGATCTTGCAGGATTGTTACATAGGTATACACATGCCATAGTGGTTTGCTGCCTCCATCCCCCATCACCTACATTAGGTATTTCTCCCAATATTATCCCTCCCCAATCTCCCCACCCCCCACTATCCCTCCCCTAACCTCTCAACCCCCAACAGACCCCAGTGTGTGATGTTCCCCTCCCAGTATCCATGTGTTCTCATTGTTCAACACCCATATATGAATGAAAACATGTAGTGTTTGGTTTTCTGTTCTTGTGTCAGTTAATAAGAATGATGGTTTCCAGATTCATCCATGTCCCTACAAAGGACACAAACTCATCTTTTTTTATGGCTGCATACTATTCCATGGTGTATGCGTGCCACATTTTCTTTATCCAATCTATCATTGATGGGTATTTGGGTTCGTTCCAAGTCTTTGCTATTGTGAACAGTGCCACAATAAACATACATGTGCATGCCTCTTTATAATAGAATGATTTAGAATTCTTTGGGTATATACCCAGTAATGGGATTGCTGGGTCAAATGGTATTTCTATTTCTAGATCCTTGAAGAATTGCCACACTGTCTTCCACAATGGTTGAACTAATTTATATTCCCACCAACAGTGTAAAAGTGTTCCTATTTCTCCACATCCTCTCTAGCATCTGTGGTCTCCAGATTTTTAAATGACTGCCATTCTAACTGGCATGAGATGGCATCTCAATGTAGTTTTGATTTTCATTTCTCTAATGACCAGTGATGATGAACATTTTTTCATGTTTGTTGGCTTCATATATGTCTTCTTTTGAAAAGTGTCTGTTCATGTCCTTCACTCACTTTTGAATGGGTTTGTTTGGTTTTTTTCTTGTAAATCTGTTTTTGTTCTTTGTAGATTCTGGATATTAGCCCTTTGTCACATGGGTAGATAGCAAAAATTTTTCCCATTCTGTTGGTTGCTCGTTCACTCTAATGATTGTTTCCTTTGCTGTGCAGAAACTCTTAAGTTTAATTAGATCTCATTTGTCTATTTTGTCTTTTATTGCCATTGCTTTTGGTGTATTAGTCATGAAGTCCTTGCCTATGCCTATGTCCTGAATGGTTTTGCTAGGTTTTCTTTTAGGGTTTTTATGGTGTTAGGGCTTGTGTTTAAATCTTTAGTCCATCTAGAGTTAATTTTTGTATAAGGTGTAAGGAAGGGGTCAAGTTTCTGCTTTCTGCACATGGCTAGCCAGTTTTCCCAACACCGTTTATTAAACAGGGTATCATTTCTAGTTTTGGTCTGGTTTATCAAAGATCAGATGGTTGCAGATGTGTAACATTACTTCCGAGGCCTGTGTTCTGTTCCATTGGTCTATATCTCTGTTTTGGTACCAGTACCATGTTGTTTTAATTACTGTAGCCTTGTAGTATCGTTTGAAGTCAGGTAGCGTGATGCTTCCAGCTTTGTTCTTTTTGCTTAGGATTGTCTTGGCTATGCGGGCTCTTTTTTGGTTCTATATAAAATTTAAGGTGGTTTTTTCCAGTTCTGTGAAGAAGGTCAATGGTAGCTTGATTGGGGATAGTGTTGAATCTATAAATTACTTTGGACAGTATGATCATTTTCATGATATTGATTCTTCCTAATCATGAACATGGCATGTTTTTCCATCTGTTTGTGTCCTCTCCTATTTCCTTGAGCAGTGGTTTGTAGTTCTCCTTGAAGAGGTCCTTCACATCCCTTATTAGTTGAGTTCCTAGGCATTTTATTCTCTTTGTAGCAATTGTGAATGGGAGTTCACTCATGGTTTGGCTATCTGTTTATCTGTTATTGGTGTTTAGGAATGCTTGTGATTTTGCAAGTTAATTTTGTATCCAGAGACTTTGCTGCTTTTTCTTTAATGTAGACATTCTCTTTGGGAATTTTCTTGCATAAACATAATTATTAATTGTCTACACTCCCAATTTCAGTTTTTTTTTTAAGAATAAAAAATTTTTTAAGTTGACCAGAAGGCAGAGTGCCATGGCTGATGCCTATAACTCCAGCATTGGGAGGGAGGCCAAGGTAGGTGGATCACTAAAGCCCAGTATTTCTAGACCAGCCTGTGAAACATGACAAAACCCCATCTCTACAAAAAATATGAAAGTTAGCCAAACGTGGTAGCATGTACCTGTAGTCCCAGCTACTCAGGAGGCTCAGGAGGGAGAATCACTTGAGCCTGGTAGGTCAAGGCCACAGTGAGCTATGATTGTGCCACTTCACCACTCCACCTCAGGTCACAGAATGAGACCCTGTCTCAAAAAAAAATTGACAAGAAATTTTAGTCAGAATCTATGTTAGTTATTTCTCCAGACATTTTATAGTTATCTTATTTGCTCCAAATTCAGCAGAACTTTTTTAGCAATTTGCCCTTACCAGAATATTCCAAATTATTCTGATGCCATCAGCATCAGTCTGAATGTGGAAATTCATAGTAGAAAGGGAAAATCAAGTTTAGACCATCAGGTTAGTTAAACTGAGGTAAATTCAGAAATCTTCTCCTATAATAACAAATTCCTATTCAGACATAGCTTTTTCATGACAATCCAAACTCAGCAAATAAAAGGTAAAACAAAAATCATGAATTACTTCTCTAATTCATGATTTTAAAAAATTCTGTCACCAGTATTTATTCTCAGTTACCATGCAATAATCTACAAATTATCTTTGGCATCTCATGCTATCTCGTTTTTTTTTCCTCTTAAAAATCTCTTGGCTATTTTGGCTACTCTAGCCTTAATTCAGATCTTCATAATCTCTGGCTTATACTACTACAAAAGCCTCTTGACTGGTCTAATAATCATATTGTTGCCTTTAATTCATTCTATATAAACTAGCCAGGATGAGTTTGCTAAGGTGAAAATCTGACATTGTTATTCCTCAGATTAAAACTCTTCAATGATCCTTCATAGCTTATATACATTGACTCTTACAATATGCCAGGCACAGTGCTAAGCATTTTATCAATTGGCTCATTTAATTAATTTATGTATTCATTATATTTATTGAAAACCCATGTCCCAGCCTCTGTTTCAGTCTCCGGGATATAGCCATGAACAAAACAAATTGATGTAAACTTCATAGAGCCAGGATTATCTTTTTTTCACTGCTGTATTCCCTGATCCAGACAGTCTAAAATCAGAAACCAAAGTATAAACTGTTACAGGATATTACCCTGACTCCATTTAACCTCTTGACTGATCTTTTTACTTCTTATGTGGCATTTTTCCCTTGAGCAAGATTTAAAAGTATTAGTTCACCACACACTGTGCTGTTCATTGCTCCTTTATCTGGGATTCTTTCATTGTCCTTGTCCAATAATAGAAAATAACATAATGTCATAAACAATGGCCTTCAATGTATACCAGTATGTGTTATCATCCATTCCAAGAGAAACAGGGAATTAAAAACAGAATACATCCAAAAGACTAGAGAAAACATTTACCTAAGATAGACTTTATGGTCCAAGAAATCTTAGTTCTTATTACAGATGATACAGCTATTTATTAAAGCCCAAGAATTATAAATGTTAAAAGGACAACATGTAGTGAATAACCTTCATTGAGGCTTTACTTCATAATTTAAATACTTTATGCTTTTCTTCCAAGATTGGCTTTATCAGAGTCTAAATGTTGCCTTGTCTTACAGCTGAAAGGAAAGTCAAACTAAATAAGTTAATTAAAGAATTGAGTGCTGTTTTAGGTAAGTGAGAAATTAATTTTTTACGTGATCTTTCCTACCATCCCTTCATTCTATTATTTTACCATTTTAACCTTTCATTAATTAAATCTTTTTTTGTACCTGCTTTGGATCACCTACACTTTTGCAACCAATAGAGGTACTAGGTCTTGGCACAAGATATAGGATACTTCATAATTGAGTTAATAACAGATATTTATGCAAACATAATTATTTGGATGGATCTCTAATATAATAATTTTCAGGGAAATTATATTCATATTATGTTTAGTAATTTTCTCCTTTAATATGATGATCTGACCTATTATAAATAAGAGAAGTAAGTTGTATTTCTGTGTGGTATTTACTCTGTACAATATAGCAGGTGTGCTCATCTCTTTGTTGCTTATCTAGCAATAGAAGATGCTGCTGCCAGCCAGATACAGTGACTCACATCTGTAATCCCAGTACTTCAGGAGGTCAAAGCAGGAGGATCAATTGAGCTCAGGAGTTAGAGACCAACCTGGGCAACATGGCAAAACTCTGTCTCTACAAAATATATAAAAATTAGCTGGGTATGGTGGCACATCCCTGTGGTCTCAGCTAATAGGGGGGCTGAGGTGGGAGGATCACTTGAGCCTGGAAGGCATAGGTTGCAGTGAGCTGAGATAGCACCACTCCACTCCAGCCTGGGTGAACAAGAAAGACCCTATCTCAAAAAAAAAAAAAAAAAGAGAGAGAGAGAAAGAAGAAAAAGAAGAAGAGGAAGCAGCTGCATCAATAGTATTTGATATTGTTCAATAACCATAATAGCAGACTCTTCTTAATAGTATGAGAATTTTAAAAAATTTATTATACTTTAAGTTCTGGGGTACATGTGCAGATTGTGCCGGTTTGTTACATAAGTATATATGTACCATGATAGTGGTTTGCTGCATCCATCGCCCCATCATCTACATTAGATATTTCTCCTAATGTTATCCCTCCCTAATCCTCCCACCCCCTGCCATTCCACCCTGAGCCCCTCAAACCCCAGGCCCTAGTGTGTGCTATTTCCCTCTATGTGTCCATGTGTTCTCATTGTTCAACATCCACTTATGAGTGAGAACATGCAGTGTTTGGTTTTCTGTTTTTGTGTCATTTTGCTGAGAATTGGTTTCCAGCTTCATCCATGTCCCAGCAAAGGACATGAACTCATCTTTTTTTATGGCTGCGTAGTATTCCATGGTGTATATGTGCCACATTTTCTTTATCCAGTATATCATTGACGGGCATTTGGGTTGGTTCCAAGTCTTTGCTATTGTGAACAGTGCCACAGTAAACATACATGTGCATGCGTCTTTATAATAGAATGATTTAGAATTCTTTGGGTATATACTTAGTAATGGGATTGTTGGGTCAAATGGAATTTCTATTTCTAGATCTTTGAAGAATTGCCATATTGTCTTCCACAATGGTTGAACTAATTTACACTCCCACCAACAGTGTAAAAGTGTTCCTATTTCTCCACATCCTCTCCAGTGTCTGTTGTCTCCAGATTTTTAAATGATCGCCATTCTAACTGGCGTGAGGTGATATCTCAATGTGGTTTTGATTTGCATTTCTTTAATGACCAGTGACTATAAGCTTTTTTGGTATGTTTGTTGGCCACATAAATGTCTTCTTTTGAAAAGTGTCTGTTCATATCCTTCTCCCACTTTTGGATGGGTTAGTTTGATTTTTCCTTATAAATCTGTTTTAGTTCTTTGCGACAGGTAGCTCACAAAATTTTTTCCCATTCTGTTGGTTGCCGGTTCACTCTAATGATAATTTCTTTTGCTGTGCAGAAGCTCTGGAGTTTAATTCGATCCCACTTGTCTGTTTTGGCTTTTGTTGCCATTGCTTTTGGTATTTTAGTCATGAAGTCCTTGCCTATGCCTATGTCCTGAATGGTATTGCCAAGGTTTTCTTTTAGGGTTTTATGGTGTTAGGCCAGTTTCTTCTGCACAGCAAAAGAAACTATCATTAGAGTGAACTGTCAACCAACAGAATGGGAAAAAAATTTTTGCGATCTACCCATCTGACAAAAGGCTAATATCCAGCATCTGCAAAGAACTAAAACAGATTTACAAGGAAAAACCAAACAAATCCATCCAAAAGTGGGTGAAGGATATGAACACTTTTCAAAAGAAGACATATATGAGGCCAACAAACATATGAAAAAATGTTCATCATCACTGATTATTAGAGAAATGCAAATCAAAACCACATTGAGATACCACCTCACGCCAGTTAGAATGGTGATCATTAAAAAATCTGGAGACAACAGATGCTGGAGAGGATGTGGAGAAATAGGAACACTTTTACACTGCTGGTGGGAGGTATACTAGTTCAATCATTGTGGAAGACACTGTGGCACTTCCTCAAGGACCTAGAAATAGAAATTCCATTTGACCCAGCAATCCCATTACTGGGTATATACCCAAAAAACTATAAATCATTCTATTATAGAGCCACATGCACACATATGTTCACTGCAGCCCTGCGTACAATAGCAAAGACCTGAAACCAACCCAAATGCCTGTCAACGATAGACTGGACAAAGAAAATGTGGCACATCTACACCATGGAATACTGTGCAGCCATAAAAAATGATGAGTTTGTGTCCTTTGTAGGGACATGGATGTATCTAGAAACCATCATTCTCAGCAAACTGACACAAGAACAGAAAACCAAACACCACATGTTCTCACTTACAGGCAGGTTGTTGAACAATGAGAACAGGTGGACTCAGGATCATCACACACTGGGGGCAGTTGAGGGGGCGGCTAGGGGAGGGACAGTGGGGAGTGGGGACACTGGGGAGGGATAACATGGGGAGAAATGCCGGATATAGTATGCACCTATGGAACAATCCTGCATGACCTGCACGTGTACCCCAGAACCTAAAGTAAAATTTAAAAAAATTAAAAATTGGGGAGGAGGACTCAAGATGGCGCTGTGACAACAACCCAGGATTGGAGCTCTCGTTGAATCCGCAAAGAGGTGAGTCGGAGTTGCATTTCCAGACTGATCTTTGTTGCCCACAGAACAGGGAAACTCCCAAGTGTAAGGGAGACACGGGACGCCAGGCAGTAAGTCTGCCTGGCGAAGCCGGCAGCTGGGGCGGTGGCGGCCGGCCCTACCCAGCAATCCCCACAGGGCACGCTTGTCCGGGTGCCCTGTTGAACCGGCAACCTGAGACTTGAGAGGGCTGGACTTGAGACTGAACGAGACTTGGACAGTAGGCCAGCCCAGGGGATTGCAGGGACAGAGCGTTTGGGGTACCCAGTAGGACGAACAAAACCGCGATTTCAAACTATCCCGAGCAGACAGTCCGAAACGCTCTGTGGGGGAGGGGCGTCCACCACTACTGAGGCAACCTGCCCCAACTGAGATACACGCCCACTGCTGACGCAGCCAGCCATTGCCAAGGCAACCCGTCCCTACTGAGATACACGCCCACTGCTGACGCAGCCTCCCGTTGCCGAGGCAACCCGTCCCTACTGAGATACACGCCCACTGCTGACACAGCCTGCCGTTGCCGAGGCAACACACTACAACGAAGAGACTCCGCCGCAGGGCGTGGCGGAGACCACAGCAGAGCCTGCAGGAACAGGGCGAATCACACAACAGCAGGGTGGAGACTCGGCAGGCAAACAGTGGCTAGTCTGCCTCCTAGCTGGGCAGGACACCTCAACGGACATTGAAAAATAAAGCCCGAACCCCTGAACACAGAGCATTTGAGAAAAAAAGGGTTTTCTTAATGAGCTCTGTTGCAGCAGAATCAAACATAGCAGCCTAACAGCCCTGAATGAACAACAGAGCTCACAGCTCAGAAATTGAGCTCCTAAAAAGAACAGACTGTCTCCTCAAGCAGCTCCCTGACCCCTCTATATCCAAAAGACTGACATTTGGCAGACATCATCCTGGGACAAAGATAGCAGAAAAAGAAACTGGTAGCATCCCTCACTGTGCCACAGCTGCTAGAGGTGCACCCCAGACAAGCAGGACCTGGAGTGGACCTCAGCAGTCGTACAGTGAAGGGGCTAGGCTGGTAGAAGGAAAACCAAGTAACAGAAATACTTCATCATCAACAATCTGGGTGTCCACTCAGAGACCCAATCGAAAAGTCAGCAACTACGCAGATGACAAGCGGATAAACCCACAAAGATGGGAAGAAACCAGCGAAAAAAGGAGGAAAACACCCGAAACCAGAACACCTCGCCTCCTAGAAAGGACCAAAACTCCTCACCAGCAAGGGAACAAAGCTGGACGGAGAATGACTGTGACGAAATGATGGAATTAGACTTCAGAAGGTGGATAATGAGAAACTTCTGTGAGCTAAAAGAACATGTATTAAATCAATGCAAAGAAACTAAGGAACGTAAAAAAAAGATATGAGGAAATGATAACAAGAATGGATAACTTAGAGGGGAATATGAATGAATTAAAGGAGCTGAAAAACACAATACGAGAACTTCGCGAAGCATGCACAAGTTTCAATAGCCGAATTGACCAAGCAGAAAGAATATCTGAAGTCGAAGACCAACTCAATGAAATTAAATGAGAAACCAAGATCAGAGAAAAAAGCACAAAAAGGAATGAACAAAGTCTCCAAGAAATGTGGGAGTATGTGAAAAGACCTAACCTACGTTTGATAGGTGTACCAGAAGGGGACGAAGAGAATGAATCCAAGCTGAAAAATACTCTTCAGGACATCATCCAGGAAAACTTCCCCCACCTAGCAAGAGACGCCAACACTCAAATGCAGGAAATACAGAGAACACCACAAAGATATTCCGCAAGAAGAGCAACCCCAAGGCACATAATCGTCAGATTCAACAAGGTTGAAATAAAGGAGAAAATACTAAGGGCAGCCAGAGAGAAAGGTCGAGTTACCCACAAAGGGAAGCCCATCAGACTCACAGCAGATCTCTCGGCAGAAACACTACAAGCCAGAAGAGAGTGGGGGACAATATTCAACATTCTTAAAGAAAAGAACT